GGTGACTGGGAGTAGAGCCGGGACTCGAACCCAGGCCCTGCAGTATCACACGCAGGCCATACGGGATCCAGGTGTCCCAAGCAGTACTTGCGCCCGTGCTTGTCCCACGGGGCACTTTGATCAGGACACTAATCCTATCACCTGCTCCACCCCCGCGGCCCAGTCAGCGTCTGCACCATCACACTGAGGGCTGGGTTCACATACACGAATTGGAGGGTCACACACGCAGTCCACTGCAAATGACCCTGATGGTTCTGAGAAGTGCTGGTCAGGTGTTTCGTAAACTGTCCCTCACTTAGTCTGTGTTTTTCTCATGGCTAGGCCAGGGTTTGGGTTTGGGTTTTGGGAAGGAAGACCGCTGGTCCTGGGCCGGGACTGTGGCCTGAGTCAGCAGGTTGAGCTGCTGGCTCCACTGCTGACATCTCCTGTCGCGGCGCTAGCTTGAGTCCTGGTGCTCTGCTTCTGATTCCCTCCCTGCTGATGCGCCTGGGCAGGCAGCAGGTGGTGGCCCGAGTGCTTTGGACCCCGCACCCAAGTGAGAGACCCAGAGGGAGCTCCTGGCTCCTGGCTCTGGCCTGGCTCAGCCCCAGCCGTTGTGGCCATTTGGGGAGTGAACCAATGGATGGAAGATCTCTCTCTGTGCCTTTCAAATAAATAAAAAGAAAGAGACCCCTGGTGCCCATGTTGGATTCTAATCCCATTTTGTCACAAGACAAGTCAGGGCTCTCGGGAGACGTGGCTGATTGTGGGGCAGGAAGCACGATGTGGCACAGCAGTCCGAGCTCCATCTGCAGGGCTGCTCTCGGCTGTGTGCTTCTAGTCCAGCTCCCTGCTGATGACCGGGCACAGAAGTGGGGGATGACCCCAGTGCTTGGGGCCCTGCCACCCATGTGGCAGACCCAGATAGAGTTCTGGCTGTTGTGGGGATCTGGAGTGAACTGGTGGATGGAAGATCTTTCTCTCTCTCTGCCTTTCAAAAAAGTAAAATAAATATTAAAAAAAAGTCTAGATGATCTGTAGCACTGTGAGTAGTGTTTGTTTTTTTAAGATTTATTTATTTGAAAGTCAGAGTTACACAGAGAGAGAAGGAGAGGCAAAGAGAGAGAGAGAGAGAGATCTTCCATCCGCTGGTTCACTACCCAAGTGGCTGCAACGGCCGGAGCTGGGCTGATCCAAAGCCAGGAGCCAGGAGCTTCCTCTGGGTCTCCCATGTGGGTGCAGGTGCCCAAGGACTTGGGCCATCTTCCACTGCTTTCCCAGGCCATAGCAGAGCTGGATCCTTTTTTTTTTTTTTTTTTTTTTTTTGACAGGCAGAGTGGACAGTGAGAGAGAGAGACAGAGAGAAAGGTCTTTCTTTGCCGTTGGTTCACCCTCCAATGGCCGCCGCGGACAGCACACTGAGGCCAGCGCACCGCACTGATCCGAAGGCAGGAGCCAGGTGCTTCCCCTGGTCTCCCATGGGGTGCAGGGCCCAAGCACCTGGGCCATCCTCCACTGCACTCCTGGGCCACAGCAGAGAGCTGGCCTGGAAGAGGGGCAACCGGGACAGAATCCGGCGCCCTGACCGGGACTAGAACCCGGTGTGCCGGCGCCGCTAGGTGGAGGATTAGCCTAGTGAGCCGCGGCGCCAGCCTGGAGCTGGATCCTTAGTGGAGCAGCTGGGACTTGAACCGGTGCCCACATGGGATGCCAGCACTGCAGGTGGCGGCTTTACCCGCTTCGCCACAGCACCAGCTCCAATGAGTAGTGTTTATAAAAAGAAAAGAAAAATGACAGGGCAGTGTCAGAACACAGGAAGCAACTTTAAAAGGCTGCAGCGGCCAAGGCTGATGACAGCGATGCAGTGTTTTTAATGATTATTAGTGTTATTTAAGTCCAGTTGAAGTGTAAAATGAAAGTCCATGTTGATGTAAGTTATGAGAGAATCTAACGTGGCAGGTGCAGAGCAGGGACAGACCCTTCTCAGGGAATTCCAAGCTGTTGCAGTTGCCCGGCTCCCGGGGAGGTGCTGCTGGAGTCTCCTCCCTGCCCCTTGGAGCGAGGGCTGGCCCGGTGGTAGTGGGCAGCAGGGGGGGCCTGAGCGTCGGGTGTTGGTGCGTGTGACGCGCCGTTGTCAGAGCTGCGGGGTTTTGTAAGGCCGGGGTTTCCCTACTCCCTCGCCCGCCCCATCCGTCTCCCAGAGGCAGCTTTCGCTCGTTGCAAGTGAAGTGGTTTCCCGTGATTCCCGCCGTTCCTGACCAGCGCGCCTGTCGTCTGCCGCAGGTAGCTTCAGTTCCTGCTGCGCTGCCCTGCACGGGGAGACCCGTGTCTCCCTCGCCGCCGGCGTGCTTTGTGCACGCGAGACTAGCTCAGGACGCTGCCTGCAAGCTGATCAGTCTTCCGGGCCGCCCTTTTGTTTCCCTGGGAACTCATAGCCTCGCAGTTGGCACTGATTCAGCGTGGAGGCCTCGGCGCTTGTCTCTGGCTGGGGGCAGATCTTCAGGCACAGGTCCTGCCCCGTGTCCCCGTTTCAGTTGAGCACGGGGTCTAGCAGCCTGAGGAGGGGTGCGTGGGAATCCATTCTTGAGATCTCACGTGTCTGAGCACGGTAGGTGTCCGGCTGCCTGTGGGTTCTAGTTGAAAGACGCTTACTCAGAGTTGGAAGGTGCTTGCCGAGTCACCTTTTGCTTCCAGAGTTGCTGTTGTGCAGCCGTTCTTGTTCTGCATCGCCTGCTCTCCGGGAACATGGAGGATATGCTGTCACCACAGATTTTTGTTTCCTAATAAAATTGGTGTGTGTGTGCGGAGATTCCCCGCTGTGCCTTGGAAGAGCGCCGGGTGTGGAGCCAGGCTTGGGAAGGTTACCGCTGTCTTTGGTGGTCACGTCTCTCGCAGGCCCGACCTCGGCTTCCTGAAGCGGGAGGCCCGGCTGCCATTGCCGTCCGCTTCTCTGGGGGAGCCGCGGCCTCCTGTGTGGAGGAGTCTGCCCTGAGCTGGCGCTGTCCTCGTGCGGTCAGAAGGCTGGTTGTAATTCTGAAGGCTTCTGTTACTCTGTGGAGCGTTAAGAAGGCTAGTTGTAATTCTGAAGGCTTCTGTTACTCTCTGGAGCGTTAAGAAGGCTGGTTGTAATTCTGAAGGCTTCTGTTACTCTCTGGAGCGTTAAGATGAGCAAAAGAGGCACGCTCGTCCCAAAGAACATCCTTACTCTGCCTCTCAAATAAGTAGATGATCCTAAAAAATTAAATAAAGTGACAACTTTACCAGCTCATAAGAACTGTGTTGTGTTTAACGGTTGTCTCTGCTGGACTGTTTCGGAGTAGTGGAACTGACCGACCACGTGCACGGGTGGTGTTTCTGTCCAGTGCTGCGCCCGCCTGCAGGTGCGGGTCTGTGCGTTGAGTCTCACCGCTGTCCTCCTGTCCACTCACTCTTAGCAGTAAAGCCCCTGCCTGTCGAGCAGGGTGTGGGGGATTCTCTGTTGCCGGCAGAGTCCAGTTACCTGCTCTGTCTGTACTGTTAAGTCTTATTTCAGGTTTGAGCATGCGCTTTTTTTTTTAAGATTTATTTATTTATTTGAAAGCCCTAGTTACACAGAGAGCAAAGGAGAGGCAGAGAGAGAGAGAGAGAGAGAGAGAGAGGTCTTCCATCCGCTGGTTCACTCCCCAGTTGGTTGCAATGGTCAGAGCTGCGCCGATCTGAAGCCAGGAGCCAGGAGCTTCTTCTGGGTCTCCCACGTGGGTGCAGGGGCTCAAGCACTTGGGCCATCTTCTACTGCTCTCCCAGGCCATAGCAGAGAGCTGGATCAGAAGTGGGGCAGCCAGGACTTGAACTGGCGCCCATATGGGATGGCGATGCTTCAGGACAGGGCTTTAACCTGCTGCATCACAGTGCCGGCCCCTGAGCATGTGTGTTTTTTTTTTTTTTTTCTTTCTTTTCTTTTTTTTTTTTTTTGACAGGCAGAGTTAGTGAAAGAGAGAAAGAAATGGAGAGAAAGGTCTTCCTTTTTCCGTTGGTTCACCCCCAAAGTGGCCATTACAGCCAGCGCACTGTGCTGATCCGAAGCCAGGAGCCAGGTGCTTCCTCCTGGTCTCCCGTGCGGGTGCAGGGCCCAAGCACTTGGGCATCCTCCACTGCCCTCCTGGGCCACAGCAGAGAGCTGGCCTGGAAGAGGGGCAACCGGGACAGAATCCGGCGCCCCAACCGGGACTAGAACCCAGGGTGCTGGTGCTGCAGGCGGAGGATAAGCCTAGTGAGCTGTGGAGCCAGCCAATAAATCTGTTTTTAAAACTATCATTGGGGCCGGCATTGTGGCATAGTGGGTAAAGTTGCTGCCTTCTATCTGGCCCAGTCCTGGCCATTGCAGCCATGTGGGGAGTGAACCAGTGAATGGAAGATTTCTGTCTCTTCTCTCTCTCTGTAACTGTACTGTTCACCTAAGAAAAAGTCTCTTTTGGGGGGCCGGTGCTGTGGCATAGTGGGTAAAGCCGCCACCTGCAGTGCCAGCATATCATATGGGCACCGGTTCTAGTTCCGGCTGCTCCACTTTGATCCAGCTCTCTGCTACAGCCTGGGAAAGCAGTAGAAGACGGCCCAAGTTCTGGAACCCTGCTCCCGTGTGGGAGACCTGGAAGAGGCTCCTGGCTTTGGATTGGCGCAGCTCCAGCCATTGTGGCCAATTGGGAGTGAACCAGTGGATGGAAGACCTCTCTCTCTCTCTCTCTCCCTCTGCCTCTCCTTCTCTCTCTGTGTAACTCTGACTCTCAAATAAATCTTTAAAAAAAAAAAAAGAAATGCACTTGGATGTTTTGCTGCTTTTGTTCTTTGGCAGTAATTTCTGTTGCAGTTATTTCTTCCATAAAAAACAAGTCCAGAGCAGAAACAGGACAAGACGTGCCTGTTCCGAGGTCATCACTGAAATGCAGTTCGTTACTCACCTGTAAAACGTGGACGTGAACGTTCGGACGCTCAGGTGGCGAGAGGTGCACGGTGAGACCTGCTCTGAGCTTCGGCCTCTCTCCCAGCAGCGTGCATGACGACATGTCCACGATGGTGTACATCAAGGAAGACAAGCTGGAGAAGCTGACTCAGGATGAGATCATCTCCAAGACAAAGCAGGTGATTCAGGGGCTGGAGGCGCTCAAGAATGAGCACAACTCCATTCTGCAGAGCCTGCTGGAGACACTCAAGTGTCTCAAGAAGGAGGATGAGAGCAACCTGGTGGAGGAGAAGTCCAGCATGATCCGGAAGTCCCTGGAGATGCTGGAGCTCGGCCTGAGCGAGGCGCAGGTACGCACGCCCCCCCCGCCCCGCCCCCGCCCGAGATGGGCGCCGTCCCTGGAGGCAGAGGCACCGGCCGCTTGCTGGGGTTGTGTGCGTTACGTGAACACCTGTGGATTGGGCGTGTCTGAATTTTAAAGAGGAGAGACAAAATAGAGGCCCCTGTAGGTGTCATTTGGGTTTGCTTTGGGCCCCTGTGCGAAAGAACAGCAGCTCAGGTAGTGTAGACGTGAGTGAGACAGGCACTGAGGCAGGCTGTCCCAGAGAGGTTCCCCTGTCAGGGCGGCCCAGGCTGCTGCCCCCTGCTGCCCGCGCGCCCGTTCCAGGAGCAGGGAACCGACGGGAAAGGCATGCCTTCTCCCTGGGAGGCGGCGTCCTGGGGCGGTGCACAGCCTCTCGGGACAGAGTCCTGGCCATCCAGCAGAGGTGGCAGTGGGGCTGGCGATGCTGTCTTGCCCATAGCAGTTGGAGGTGCTGAGGCCTGAGGGGAAGATGGACGCTGGCCAGCCGCTGAAGCCTAGCAGTGCCCAGGGCCACTGTCCAGAGCTGCTTGTGTCTACTGGACGCAGAGATGAGAAACCTGGAAGTCCCTGGTTTTCCCCTCCGTAGCGTCTCAGGCTGCCAGTGGGTCTGAGTGAACGCGACACACTGACCCGGGCTGCCTGTTCAGTGAACCGAGAGGGCGGAGGAGGGCGGCTGGGTCACGGTTCTGCTCTCAGAAGGAAGTGGCCTCCTGGCCCCTGGTTCTAGAGCTGTTCCTCGTCCCCGTGCTAGGACACTCAATGGATGTCGTGAATCTCATTTCCCAGGTTTGAGGTTTCACGGTGAAGTTAGTGTGGCAGATAACATGTTTTAAAAAAGAAAGAAGGAAAAGCCACCGTTTGGAGTTTCAGGTTTTCACCCCAGGAAGGAGGTGATGTGATTGCCACGAGAGCAGGGGCGGGCTGCAGATGGCTGGCTCCCCTGCCGCCCCTGCCCCTCTGCTCCTAAGGCCTGGCCGACGGCCTCAGGCGGGGCCTGGTGCAGCCGCTGGGCTTTCTGGCAGCACCATAGGCCTGTGACTGCGCCACGGCGCCCTGACTCTTGCGGTAGCCACGAATAACTTCCCTTCCCCCGGAACAGAGAGGGCTTTGTGTGGCCTCCCTAATCCAGTCCTGCCAGCAGCTGCCCACCTGCCGGTGCTCAGTGCGCACAGCCTCCCGTGTGGGAAAGGGCCTGTGAGGGTGGGGGCTGTCCAGGCAGCAGAAAGACAGCAGCAGAGTGGCAGGGCCTGTGCGAGCTCCGAGAACACCAGTGTGTTTCCCAGAGCTGCTCTGATGGGGTGATGGTTCCCGTCGCACCCACCGTGTCGCTGGTGGCCCTAGGGTGCAGAGAAGTAAACAGCAGGTTGTACTTCCAGGTGCTCTGGAGACAGTGTCCGGGCATCAGCCAGAGCAGGTGGGTGGAGGGACCTTGTTGGGCAGCACTGCAGGCCGTCACCGTTTCCACTGCCAGGTTATGATGGCTTTGTCCAATCACCTGAATGCCGTGGAGTCGGAGAAGCAGAAGCTGCGGGCGCAGGTCCGCCGTCTGTGTCAGGAGAACCAGTGGCTGCGGGATGAGCTGGCCAACACGCAGCAGAAGCTGCAGAAGAGTGAGCAGTCTGTGGCTCAGCTGGAGGAGGAGAAGAAGCACCTGGAGTTCATGAATCAGCTCAAGAAGTATGACGACGACATCTCCCCGTCGGTGAGTGCTGGTGCCGCGTGCGCGCTCGGCGTCCAGGGAGCCCACGTCCGCAGCAGCCTCGTGATGGCACCAGGGACCACCCTTCCCCTCGTCCCGTCTCCTCGGCTCCCTGCCAGTTCACCGCAGGCATTTCTCACTGTCTCAGGGTGAGGTGTGTCTTACAGGGTGGGTTCTGGGGGGGCTGTCCTCCTGCCGTGCGTTGTGTCCTCATGGAGGAGGGGCAGCCGTGGAGCAGATGAGCCGCACTCGCCGCCCTTAGGTCTCCCCTTAGGGCACTAATGCCATCGGGAGGCCCTGCTACCCTCGTGACCTCACACGCGTGGTCCGTCAGTAGCACTCGGTCTTACTAGGCGCACTGCATTTTGCCTTCCTGTTCCTTAGCTGGATGTTTGGATGTGAGAGACGCACTGCCGGGGCCTGTGGTGGGAGTGAGAGTGCGTGGAGGTGTTGGTGCCAGCTAGTGATTGCCCTGAACACTGGAAAGTGCTGAGAAGGGGAAATCTAGTTCCGTAGAGTCAGAGACTTTGTAAGCTTTTTATTTTGAAAAAATGTCAAACGTGGGAAACATGTACAGTGAGCTAATTCTCCCCACCTCCAGGCATGCCTGTGAGTGCGTCTGTCTGCACTGGCTCCAGCAGGCGGCCCTGCCACAGGCCGCTCCCTAGGATGAGGGAGGGTGTTCTGGGAAGCCCAGGGTGGGGGCAAATCAGGGAATGAATGATGGATTTTATCTATTTTTTAAAGATTTATTTGTCTGTTTGAAAAGCAAATTTACAAAAAGAGAGAGAGATACAATGAGAGAGAGAGGGAGAGAATCTTCCATCCATTGGTTCACTCCCCAGATGCCCACAGTGTTGGCTGGGAGAGGCTGAAGCCAGGAGCCTGGAAGGTAGCAGGTATCCAAGCACTTGGACATCTCCCATTGCTTTCCTGGGTGCGTGAGCAGGGAGCTGGATCAGAAGTGGAGCAGCCAGGACTTGAACCTGTGCCCCTGTGGGATGCTGGTGTTGGCAGGTGGCAGCTCAGCCCACTTGCCTCAACACCAGCCCCAAGCCAGGGGATCTGGAATGCCACAGTGTGTCATCTAGCCCCTTTGGTGCTTGTGTCCCAGCGCCTGTCACAGCACATTGGGGTCCACAGGGTCAGGGACACCTACCCCTCTCTTACCTGCCGTCTGCAGCAGTCCTCAGCCTGTCTGTCTTTCATGACCTTGGTATTTTTGAAGCAGACAGGCGGTTGTTGATACGTCAGTCCTTGGTTTAGCTGTGTCTCATGCTTGGATCGCGCGTCCCACAGGGAGTACTCTGAAACAAGTGCTGTGTATTGCCCAGATTATCCCTTCCAGAGGCGAGCTATGTCTGCCAGGGACACTGCCCGGTCTCACTGCCCGGCTGTGGTCTGTTTCTCCGATGTGCAGTCTCTGTTTGCCCCCGGCTGTCGGCAGCATCTGCGGCGACAGAGCAGGGTTCCCACCTGCCCGTCATGGTGGGCAGCAGAGGGAGGGGCCCAGTCCCTCTGTTCCCATGGTGACCACAGCTGCACCATTTCAACAGGTCTTCACATGTCATTTCCAAATAAGATTTTAGTCCAAGTAGAGGTTCCCTGTTCAACATGAACTTGCTCAGAACACAGCCCGAGAACCGGAGGCAAGGGAATGGGGTCCTGGCTGTGCGGCCAGATCTGGCCTGCTTGGAGGTGGTTCCAGTCCAGCAAGCCTCTCATTGCTCCTTGTTGTGCTGGTAAACATGCCGAATTGTGGCTGCTCTTATATTCGATTTTAATAAAAAAAAAATACTTATTTGAAAGGCTGAGTTACAGAGAGAGGGAGAGACAGAGAAAGAGATCTGTCCACTGGCTCACTCCCTACATGGCTGCAGTGGGTGGAGCTGGGCCGGTCTGAAGCCAGGAGCTTTCTCCAGGTCTCCCACGTGGGTGCAGGGGCCCAAGCATTTGGGCCGTCTTCCACTGCTTTCCCGGGTGCATTAGCGGGGAGCTGGTCGGAAGCGGAGCAGCTGGGGCGGGAACCAGCGCCCACATGGGATGCTGGTGTTCAGGTGGTGGCTTCGCCTGTCATGCTGCAGCGCCGGCCACATTCATCTGAGTCCAGTGAGAATTTTCAGTGAGGGACTGTTCTCTCCTTTGTAGGAGGACAAAGACACGGATTCCACCAAAGAGCCTCTGGATGACCTGTTCCCCAACGATGAAGACGACCCAGGTCAAGGAAGTGAGTGCTGACACTGATACAAAGGTGTCCTTCCCTGAGCACACACGTGCCTGCCTCCCGCAGCGCCAGCCGGCGGGTGTGCCTTTTGCTTCCCCAAAGAATGTGCAGTCGCTTTGTTTCGCTTGGGCCATAGCAGCTGTCGGGCCAGGCCCCGGGGAGTGGGTGTGCGCAAGCGCAGGGGGTCCGTGGGTTCTCACACGTGGCAGAGGTTAGAATTTCTCTTTTTTTTCTCCTAAGATTTTTTTATTTATTTGAGAGAGAATTACAGATGGAGAGGAAAGTCTTCCATTCACTGGTTCACTCCCTGAATGGCTGCAGCAGCCAGAGCTGGGCCAGTCTGGAGCCAGGAGCTTCTTTTGGATCTTCCATGTGGGTGCAGGGCCAGAGCACTTGGGCCATCTTCCACTGCCTTCCCAGGCCACAGCAGAGAGCTGGATCGGAAGTTTAGCAGCCAGGGCTCGAACTGGCCCCCATATGGGATGCCGGCCCTGCAGGCGGAGACTCGACCCACTACGCCGCAGCACCGGCCCTGGAATTCTCTTTCTCGTTAGTCTCGTGCTGCGGGAGGTCTCAGCATTGGCAGTGGACGAGGCACCGGACGAGGCACCCACCCTGCCGACGTGCTGTTCAGCTGCCTCGGGGAGGGCTAGGCAAGGACTTCGGCGGCTGAGGGAGGAGCAGCTGCCCCGCCCTGACCGGAGTGGGTGCCGTGTGCCTGCCCTGGCTGGTGTGGGTGCCGAGTGCCCGCCCTGACCAGTGTGGGTGCCTGGCTGGGGTGGGTGCCGTGTGTGCCTGCCCCGCCCTGACTGGTGTGGTTGCTGAGTGCCCGCCCTGACCGGGGTGGGTGCCGAGTGCCCGCCCTGGCCGGGGAGGGCGCCGAGTGCCGCGCCTCTGAGGTGGGCCTCTCTTACAGTCCAGCAGCAGCACAGCAGCGCCGCCGCGGCTGCCCAGCAGGGCGGCTACGAGATCCCTGCGCGGCTACGCACACTGCACAACCTGGTGATCCAGTACGCTTCGCAGGGGCGCTACGAGGTGGCCGTGCCACTCTGCAAGCAAGCCCTGGAGGACCTGGAGAAGACCTCCGGACACGACCACCCTGACGTGGCCACCATGCTGAACATCCTGGCCCTCGTGTACAGGTCAGTGCTCGTTCTGGACGACTTTCCGACCAGCCTGCCCGCGGGCACGAAGTACCCTCCAAGCTGGGCGTCTGCGTCTGGTCACACGGCGGAGGTCAGTGGAAACTCTCCCTAGCAAGCTCTGTGGCGAGGACGGCCTCGGGCCGGCCCTGCCAGGGCAGCCCTGCCTCCGCCTGACTCCCCACGGGCTGTGCTGCAGGGTCTGTCGGTCCGGGCGTTTTCCTGGGTGCCTGTCGGTGCCCTGCCCAGAGCCTAGGTAGCTCCCTTGGGACCCTGGGACCCGCTCGCCTTCACCGCGTGGACGCTCCCTAGGCCTTTTGTCTGCAGCAGAGACCACGCCGTGTGAGGGAGGGCACTTGGCCGTGGCGCCCACTGCAGGAGAGGCGGTGGCCTGGGGGCGGGCAGCGTGCTGGGAGGGCCTGGCAGAGGGACCGGAGCCTGAGCAGGGCCGGGGAGGGCGGGCCGTGATGCTGGAAGAAGGCAGGACGCAGCCGTCCCTGTGGGTGGCCGACGGCTGAGCCGGGACAGCGAGCGCTCTGGCTGAGCTGGGACAGCGAGCGCTCTGGCTGTCCCACGCTCCGACTGCTCTCCTGTTGCAGACGTGGACTGTTGTGCATGTTTATGTAGAAATTCTTTGGTCAAGAGTGTTTGCTTTTAAGATCTTGCTAGACTGTGCTAGGTTTCGTTCCAGAAAGCTTTTTTTAAAATTTAATTATACGCCTCCTAGCGCCATGTGTGCGTTCCTGGCCAGCAGTAGATATTACCCGTGGAAGCGAGCTCAGTGGACGTAACCGGGTTCTTCCTCTTCTTTTTTTTTTAAGATTTACTTATTTACTTGAAAGTCAGAGTTACACAGAGAGAGGTAGAGACAGAGAGAGAGAGAGAGAGAGAGAGGGGTCTTCCATCCACTGGGTCACTCCCCAGATGGGCACAGTGGCTGGAGCTGCACTGATCTGAAGCCAGGAGCCAGGAGCTTCCTCCAGGTCTCCCACGTGGGTGCAGGGGCCCAAGCACTTGGTCCATCTTCTACTGCTTTCCCAGGCTGTAGCAGAGAGCTGGATCGGAAGTGGAGCAGCCGGGTCTTAAACCGGCATCCATATGGGATGCCAGCACTGCGGGTGGCGGCTTTACCCGCTACGCCCCGGTGCCGGCCTCTGTAACCGGGTTCTGTCGTCGATGTCCTGGGTGTGCACATCACACTGCATGGCCTCTCTTCCGTCCTGAGTTCTGTTACACTGTAAGAGAGACTTGCAAAAGACCTGATGGGTGTGTGTTCCGGAGACAGTGGTGTGTGGACGCCTGGTGCCTCCTGGAGGCAGCCTGGGCAGCGTCGGCCTGAGGAGCGGAGCCCTGGCTGAGGCTTCCCGTGCTCTCCGTCCTCCATGAGTTTCCTGAGGCCTTGCTTATTTCTCAGTTAGGACTTTCTTTTTCTTTTTTAAAAAAGATGTATTTATCTGAAAGGCAGAGTGACAGAAAGCAGCCATGACAGCCAGAGCTGAGCCAGACTGCAGCCAGGAGCCAGAAACACGGATTCTGTCTGGGCCTCCCACACAGGAGGCAGGGGACCACGCGCAGGGGCCGTCCTCGGCTGCCTTCCCAGGCCACTTAGCAGGGAGCTGGACTGGAAGTGGAGCAGCCGGGCCTCAGACCAGTGCCCCGTATCACAAAAATGGCCCAGGGTTTATTGTTCACAGGGTCCACTTTGCTTTCATTTGGAATTTTGAGTTTCTTGGTGGGCTTGTGCTGGGCTTTATTTCTGAGATCCTGATTGGGCAGATCTGTAGAGGTCCAGCAAGTTCCAGGTGAGGTGGTGCAGCTGTCTGGGGCCGCACCTGAGAGGCAGGGCTGTGACCTGGTCGTTGGCGAGTTAATAGTCCCAAGAGTGTTAGAGCATGTCCCAAGTGTGTTAGAGCGTGTCCCAAGGATGTTAGTGCATGTCAGTTTCAGCAGTACTTACTGTAACTCGTCTTAGTTCTCAACACACTTTTAGGTAACTTTCTTTTTTTTAATGGTGTTACTAGTTTTTTTTTTTTTTCCTCACTTATTTGACTGGCAGAGTTAGAGAGAGAGAGAGAGAGAGAGAGAGAGACAGAGAGAAGGGTCTTCCTTCCATTGGTTCACCCCCCAAATGGCTGCTACAGCCGGCGCTGCGCCGATCCGAAGCCAGGAGCCAGGTGTTTCTTCTTCCTGGTCTCCCATGCGGGTGCAGGGCCCAATCACCTGGGCCATCCTCCACTGCCTTCCCAGGCCACAGCAGAGAGCTGGACTACAAGAGGAGCAGCCGGGACTAGAACTCGGCACCCATATGGGATGCCAGCGCCACAGGTGGAGGATTAACCTAGTGAGCCATGGTGCCAGCCCCAGTGTTACTAGTTTTTTAAAACTTTGTTTCCTATTGCTTAGTTTCACAGAATGCTCAGAACAGCTTATGATGTATACCAGAGTGGTTGGAGAAGAGAACAGTACACGAGGCCCTGCGCTGTGCACTGTGGTAACCCCGCCCTGCGACCCAGCATCCCATGTTGGAGCGCCAGTTCGAGTCCCGGCTGCTCCACCTCTGATCCAGCTCACGCTGATGCTCCTGGGAAGGCAGCGGCCCCGCCACCCACATGGGAGACCTGAATGGAGTCCCAGGCTCCTGGATTCACCCTGGCCCAGCCCTGATCATTGTGGTCTCTTGGGGAGTGGACCAATGGATGGAAGATCTTTGTCTCTAATGAGTTAACTAAGCAAGAACAACAGCTATAACATACAAGCACTTGGGTAGAATTTGTGGGATTCAGAGGTTCTGCAAACCTTGTTAATCCTGCTGTGCAGGGCAGAGCCTTGCTGGGCAGCTGTTAGCTTTCAGTTGGGAATGTGTGTGGTAGGTCTCTGGAGCCAGTTTTGCAGCACGGCGGTGGTCGATGGCACACTTAACCCAGGATGCACTGGGGCTGCTGGTTTTTTTTTTTTTTTAAAGATTTATTTTTTACTTGAAAGTCAGAGTTACACAGAGAGAGGAGAGGCAGAGAGACAGAGAGAGGTCTTCCGTCCAGTGGTTCACTCCCCAATGTGCCACAATGGCTGGAAATGTGCCGATCCAAAGCCAGGAGCCAAGAGCTTCCTCCAGGTCTCCCACATGGGTGCAGGGGCCCAAGCACCTGGGCCATCTTCCACTGCTTTCTCAGGCCACAGCAGAGAGCTGGATGGGAAGTGGAGCAGCCGGGACCAGAACCGGCGCCCATATGGGATGCTGGCGCTTCAGGCCAGGGCGTTAACCCGCTGTGCCACAGCGCCGCCCCCTGTCTTTTTCTCTGTCTCTGTCTCTCTCTCTGAAGACTTATTTATTTGAGAGGCAGAGTTACAGAGAGAGAATGAGAGTGAGAGAGAGAGAGAGAGAGAGCTCTTCCATCTGCTGGTTCACTCTCCAAATGGCCACAACAGCCAGAACTGGGCTGATCTGAAGCCAGGAGCCAGGAGCTTCTTCTAGGTCTCCCATGTGGGTGCAAGGGTCCAAGGACTTGGGCCATCTTCCACTGCTTTCCCAGGCCATAGCAGAGAGCTGGATTGGAAGTGGAGCAGCCAGGGCACAAACCGGCACCCATATGGGAGGCCAGCCCTATAGGCAGCCCCCCTACTTAATTCTTACTTCACAGTGGTAAGGTAGCATAGTCAGAGTACACGTGGGAGGGCAGGGACCTGGGGAGGTTGGGCAGTGTGGAGGCCACGTGGTCGTTACCTGGGAGCCTGAGCTGAGTGCGGTCAGTCCTGTCTGATATCCACCTGCCCTCTGCTGCCGTGCCTGCCCCGTGTCGGCAGCCCCAGGACAGCCCTGCGTGGCCAGTGGTGCCCAGTGGTCCGGGTTGGGGGACCCAGGCGAGAAGTTTATGAGATCTGATTTTGTAGCTCACCTGGCTGCCAGTGCATTTAGTGATGGGTTTCCTTGCAGTCTTCCCTCCCATACATAAGAGTTTTTTTGTTTTAGTTTTAGTTTTTTGGTAACTGAAGCTTAACTTTTATGTTCATAGTTCTAAAATGATTTTTCAATGATGCAGCAGCACTCTGTGTGTTTTTCCATTTAGAGATCAGAATAAGTACAAGGATGCAGCGAATCTGCTCAACGACGCCTTGGCCATCCGTGAGAAGACCCTGGGCAGAGATCACCCTGCGGTTTGTATGCCTGGTTCTTCCCTTCTCCATGCATTTGATTTTCCCCAAGGACTTGTTTTATCCAACTCATTTTAATATTAAACTCAACAGGGAAGGCTTAGGAGCCGCCTGTCCTAGCGGTGCAGGTAGGAGGCGTCTCCCAGGGCTGGCCAGCGGCTCTGCTCTGGCATTTGCCCATGCACACGCAATCCCTTTAGAGCCACCACTCAGTGGATCACCCGCTCTGTGTTCTGATCATAAATCAAATTGCATGTACCTCTATAAATTTGTTCCTCAAGCATTTATATTTTTATTGAAATCTGTTGAGATTTGCATACAGATCTATTTTGGTTGGCTTTGTGGCTTCCAGGGGAATTAAAAAAATCATGTTGTTGACGTTGATTTGTTTACTGTCAGTGTGTGTTCCGCCGTGTTACTTGGTGTCATCTGTTCTGTGAGTTGCTGTCTTGTAACGGAAGTCCTCCTCCTCTCTGAGTACAAGTGAGTCTGTGATGTGTGAGTGCCCTCGTCCGGGTCTGTTGCTGTTCTTAGTGGCTTTCTGTACTGGCAGGTGGCGGCGACCCTGAACAACCTGGCTGTCCTTTACGGAAAGAGAGGGAAGTACAAAGAAGCCGAGCCTCTGTGTAAGAGAGCCCTGGAGATCAGAGAGAAGGTAGGCAGGAGAGCAGGATGCAGCATTCTGTGTTTAAAAGACATTTCAGAAAGTCTTATTTTTTTTTATAAATATTTATTTATTTATTTATTTATTTGAGAAGCTGAGTTACAGTGAGAGGGAGAGACAGAGAGAGAAGTCTTCCATCCGCTGGTTCACTCCCCAGATGGCTGCAACAGCCGGAGCTGAGCCAGTCTGAAGCCAGGAGCCTGGAGCTCCCACGTGGGTGCAGGAGCCAAGGACTCGGGCCATCCTCCACTGCTTTCCCAGGCCACAGCAGAGAGCTGGATGGGAAGTGAACAGCCAGGACTCGAACCAGCACCCATATGGGATGCTGGCACTGCGGGTGGAGCTCAGCCTACTGTACCACAGCACTGGCCCCCAGGCTGAAGTCTTATTTATTTATTTGAAAGTCAGAGTTACAGAAAAGCAGAGGCAGAGAGAGAGAGAGAGAGAGAGAGAGATCCTCTATCTGCTGGTTCACTCTCCAAATGGCTGCAATGACTGGAGCTGCACTGATCGGGAACCAGGAGCCTCCTCTGGGTCTCTTCTGCTGCTTTCCCAGGCCATAGCAGAGAGCCAGATGGGAAGCAGAGCAGCTGGGACTCTAACCGGTGGCGGCCAGCCAGCACTGTAGGCAGCGGCTTTACCCACTACACCACAGCGCTGGCACCAGGCTTAAGTCCTGAGAAGTGACTATTGTGTTTTGTCATTACTGAGTGTTTCCTGAAAATAGCTTGTTTAATAGGATAGAAAGCTGGGAAACAGGTGGATCAGACTCACCTGAGAGGGGTGTGTGCTAGAAAGGGCAGCCCTGCCGGCCGCGAGCAGGGGTCTTGACATCGCAGGTGTCACGGGGTCTGCTTGTCGGGAAGTTGTTCAGTTAGATGCAAATCCCCCAAGTGTGTTTATGGGGATAGAGACTGAAACCGTTATTCTCAGAACTGAAGATGAGCTAGAGTGTGGGTGAAGTCAGCATCGTGGCTATCCAGTTCTCTGCTACCTTTGGTGGTCGCCAGGAGTCAGAGCGGCGAGTGCTTGTGCCGGCAGCTCTGTGGCTGTGCGGGACGTTAGCAAAGTCGGCCGTCAGCTGCACAGCGAGTAACCACAGGCAGATTAGCTGGGCATTGTCTGCAGTTACTTATCAGTGACACTGAGAGATTGGCCACTTAGTTTTGGGCCATAATGGCAAGGAATAGGCAGAGGAAAAATGAGAAGAAGCTCATTATAAAATTGTACAGGTGATTTTCTTTTAATAATTTATTTTATTTATTTGAAAGAGTTACAGAGAGGGAGAAACAGAGAAGGAGAGAGATCTTCCATCCGCTGATTCACTCTGCAATGGCCGCAACAGCCGGGGCTGGGCCAGGCTGAAACCAGAAGCCAGGAGCTCCATCCAGGTCTCCATAGCAGGAGCCCCAAGCGTTTGGACCATCTTCTGCTGCTTTCCCAGCTAGCGAAACTGGGTCAGAAGTGGAGTGGTTAGGACTCGAACCAGCATTCATGTGGGATCTGACCTCACAGGTGGTAGCCTAACCCACTGCCACAGCACAGGCCCCTGCACTGAACCTTGAACTTCTGAGTTGAAAGTGCCTCAGCAGCGTGAAGCAGTGGGTTAAAACCGCCCCCTGCAGCGCCAGCGTCCCGCATGCCGCTCCGTGTCCCGGCTGCTCCACTTCTGATCCAGCTCTCTGCCAAGGCTTGGGAAAGCAGCGGAGAATGGCCCAAGCATTTGGGCCCCTGTCACCCATGTTGGAGACCTGGGAGAAGCTCCTGGGGTGTGGTAAGGGCAGCCCGCTGCAGGGGTGAGGGGCAGGTAGGGGGCAGGAGAGGAGTTGGTGAGTGTTTATTCGGCCTTCGATACAGTGTACGCTGCAGTGAGTGGTGCTTCGGCAACAAAGAATAAGCAGGAAAGCTTGGGCAGCTGTAAAGGTGGAGAAGCGGGTGATGTGCTGGTGAGTGACTGTGGAGGCGGGGACCTCCCCTCTGAGGCGCTGAGGAGAGCCCTCAGGGTGAGCAGCTGCGCTGGGAGAGGTGTGGGCCCAGAAGCAGGGAGAGTGGTGGGTAACAGGGTCTTCATCACGTGCAGTTCCCTTGTCTGCAGAGCGCTGCGTCCTGATGGCTCAGGGCTGCCCTGGAGGACTCGAGTCAAACAGGGCAGCCGGCGAAGACGAGCACGGTGTCCCCTCCCCCCAGGGCCTGCAGTGCGGCCTAGCGGGTAAAGCTGCCGCTTACCAAGCCGGCAGCCCAGAGGAGGTAAAGCTGCCGCTTACTATGGCTGCTCCACTTCCACTCCTACTCCCTGCTCATGTGCCTAAGCAGCAGAAGATGGATCAAGTACCTGGGCCTCTGCATGTGCGTGGGAGCCCCGGATGGAGTTCCAGGGTCCTGACTTAGGCCTGCCTGGCCTCGGCTGTCGGAGCCATCTGGGGAGTGAACCAAAGGATGAAGATCTCATTCTCCATGTCTCCCTGTCTCTGTGTAACTCTGTCTTTCAAATAAGTAAATGGACTTTAAAGAATGAAAATGAGAGTTCAAAGGACTCTGGCACCGCTCCTCTTACTGGTGTGCCGTGGGAGCCGTTGGAGGTGTGCAGCCTGGAGGTGGCGCGCAGTCGCGTTTCCGCTTTAGAAGGAGCTGTGACAGGAGCGTGCGGAGTGGACGGCTGCAGAGACGCGAGCCTGCGTTTCTGACTGACTGTGTTCATCCCTAGGTTCTGGGCAAGGATCACCCTGATGTTGCCAAGCAGCTGAATAACTTGGCCTTGCTGTGCCAGAACCAGGGCAAGTATGAGGAAGTGGAGTATTACTACCAGAGAGCCCTGGAGATCTACCAGACAAAGCTGGGCCCCGATGACCCCAACGTGGCCAAGACGAAAAATAACCTGGTAGGTGACGGCGGGCCGTGGCGTGGCCTGGGCTGTTCTTGCAGACTCAGAGCAGCCGTAACTCTGCCTGCCCATCGGGGTGTGTGCGTTGCTGCCGTGTGAAGGACACCAAACTCTTTCTTTCACTTCAAGGCTTCCTGCTACCTGAAACAAGGGAAGTTCAAGCAAGCAGAAACACTGTATAAGGAGATCCTCACTCGGGCGCACGAGAGGGAGTTCGGATCTGTAGACGGTAAGACGCTCTCCTGACGTTCACGCTGTGACGTGGTTTGCAGCGTGCAGTTGGTGATAGTGAAGTCCTTAGGACCTTTTCCAGGGTAGAATGCGATCTGGGACCACTGTGTAGCCAAGCGCTGAGTCACCGGGTCGGGCGGCTGCGTGTCCTGTCCCACAAGGAGTCCGTGCTGCCTCTGCTCCTGCCTGCGGCTTCCTGCTCATCGGCCCCGCCAGGCAGTGGTGACGGCTCAGTGACTGAGTCCCTGCCGCCCGTGGGGAGACCTGGACTGAGCTCTCATCCCCCTGCCCTGGCCTTGCCCTGAGTTCCAGGCCCATGGGGAGGCCACCAATGCCTGCCTCGGGCCGCACTAGTTCACCTGCCTGTGAAGCTCACAGCCGTTTTCTCAGCGCTAATGGCCACTGAAGACTTCAGATACGCCGGCGTGACCGTGCTGCACAATGACGCAGAAACAGGACGGTGGCCTGCCGTTGCCAGCCAGGCCGTGCATGCCACTGTGGAGGCACAGCAGGGGGGTTGGTTTCTTCTTTTCTTTTTAAATATAGTATTCTTTTTTTATTTTTATTTTATTTTTTTATTTGACAGGTAGAGTTATAGACAGAGAGAGACAGAGAGAAAGGTCTTCCTTTCGCTGGTTCACTCCCCAAATGGCCGCTACGGCCGGTGCACCGTGCTGATCCAAAGCCAGGAGCCAGGTGCTTCTTCCTGGTCTCCCATGCGGGTGCAGGGGCCAAGCTCTTGGGCCATCCTCCACTGCCTTCCCAGGCCACAGCAGAGAGCTGGACAGGAGAGGAGCAACTGGAACTAGAACCCAGCACCCATATGGGATGCCGGCGCTGCAGGGGGAGGATTAACCAAGTGAGCCACGGCACTGGCCCCTCTTTTTTTTTTTTTTTTAAAGGCCATCATTTTATTTGCAAGAGTTACAGAGAGGTAGGGACAGAGAGAGGTCTTCCATCCGCTGGTTCACTCCCCAATTGGCTGCAGTGCCGGAGCTGTGCTGATCTGAAGCCAGGAACCAGGAGCTTCCTCTGGGTCTCCCACGTGGGTACAGGGACCCAAGGACTTGGGCCATTTTCTGCTTTCCCAGGCCATAGCAGAGAGCTGGATCAGAAGAGGCGCAGCCGAGACTCAAACCAGCGCCCATATGGGATTCCGGCACTGTAGCCAGCAGCTTTACCTGCTACGCCACAGCGCCGGCCCGGTTTTTTCTTGCCTGGGGGGTCTGTAGAAACCACTTTTGAAAAATCTTCCAAAGGTGTCCTTTTTTCTGGGTTGTTGACGGGAGCGGTCAGTCTCTGCCGCAGGTGTCGTGGTGCTGGGGTGCGCGTGGTGCAGGCCCGGCATAGCCCTCGGTGCTCAGGTCCGGAGGTTCCGCCCTGACCTGATGCAGAGGCTTCGCTGAGCCTTGGGTGTCCCTAGCCCATCTCCTTAATTAATGCTGCTCCTCCCAAATCCTGCTCTTGGGGTGGACGGCTTCCTTGCAGGTGGCTGGCTTCTTCCTGCTAAACGCAGCTGTGTGCAGTTAGCTGAGCTCCAGTTAAAAGCAGTTTTTCTCGTGATTTATTCTCCGTGCGCGTGAAGCATGGGCTGATCAGGCGCTCCTTCCTGAGGCGGGTGTTGGTGGGAGGGGTCTGTCGTGGCTCACTGTAGCCAGAGTGCATTGGGTCCCAGCTGTGCCAGTTAGGGGGTATATTTGTACTTGTGTTCTCACAGTGGAGCTAGTTTACAACCATTATTTAAAAACACTTGTACTCTTTCCCTCCTAAGATGGGAGACCAGGATGAAGCTCCTGGCTCCTGGCCCAACACTGGCTGTGCAGCCAACTGGGGAGTGAAGCAGCAGATGAAAATCTCTTTGACCTTCTTTCTTTCTTTTTAAATTTGTTTATTTATTTGAAGTCAGAGTTACACAGAGAGAGGAGGAGAGGCAGAGAAGGGGGGGGGTCTTCTATTCACTGGCTCACTCCCCAAATGGCCTCAATGGCCGGAGCTGGGCCGGTCTGAAGCCAGGAGCCTCCTCCAGGTCTTCCACATGGGTACAGGGGCCCAAGGACCTGGGCCATCTTCTACTGCTTTCCCAGGCCACAGCAGAGAGCTGGATGGGAAGTGGAGTAGCCAGGACTCGAACCAGCGCCAATATGGGAATCTGGCACTGCAGGCGGTGGCTTTACCTGCTCCACCATAGCGCCAACCCCTCACCCTCGTTCTATGCTACTCTGTCTTTCAAATAAACAAATAAATTAAAAAAAAATACTTTTATGACCAGTGGTAGTAGTTGTTAAGCATTAAGTCATGTGTTAGTTACTGAATAAACAGATTAAATGTGTGCTCTCGCGTCACTTTGTCAGCAGTACTGTGACTGATTCCATTAAAAATATTTTTATTTGAAAGTCATAGTGACAGAGCAAGCTCCCAAATGCTGATTCACTCTCTAGATGTCCCCCAAAAGCAGGGCCTGGGCTAAGTCAAAGCCGGGAGCTAGGAACGGGTTCCCTGCATTGACGGCAGGCACCTGGCTACTTGAGGCTACCTCTGCCTCCCACGGTGCGCGTTAACTTGAAGCTGGGATGGAGCGCGAAGCTGAGACTCACACCCCGTGCTCTGAGAGGGTGCGGGTGTCCCAGTCTTAGCTGGCATCTTCACCGCGCTGCCCAGTGCCGGTGCCTCCTCCGCTCTGCGCCTGTTCGTTTGCGTAAGTGAAACCGTGCTGTCCACATTCGCACTGCTGGGAGCAGCAGGAGCTGAGCTGGTGTCTGATGAGGTCATGCCTGAAACGCGTACGGGTTCGTGCCTCTTCTGCTTTGCTGCACTGTCTTCACTGCTCTTCTCAGACTTTCGTGTAGTGGCAGATTGTTGAGATTCTGGAGTTCCCAGTGTTAGCCAGACGCTGGCGTTTACAATGTTACGAGTAAGCTCTAGCACTGGGCAGGCTGTCCTGACTCCGTCTCCTTGTCCCTCGGCACCGTGTCTGGCCCGACAGGCTGTCTTCCAGGGCGCACTGGGTCTGTCCAGGTTGTAAGAAGTAGGGTCCAAGAGGGTCCTACAAAGACTGAGCCACGCCCTGAGTCACTGAGACCAGCAGCCTCGGTGCCGCGTGGTTCTGTCGCGCTCCAGTTGAACCTGTTTCTTCTTCCCTAGATGAAAACAAGCCCATCTGGATGCACGCTGAAGAGAGAGAGGAGTGCAAAGTAAGGACGCGCTACTCAGGCCTTCTCTAAATTGCTGTACTGCGTTCAGGGTAACTGCTCACCTCGCACTATGTGTTGTCAATTAGGGGAAGCAGAAGGACGGCGCGTCTTTCGGAGAGTACGGCGGATGGTACAAAGCCTGCAAAGTCGACAGGTGAGAAAGCCACAGGGCTCCTGGGCAGGCTGGGCAGGAAGCTCCTCGCGCTGATTGTCCGACCTTGTCCCCAGATTCCAGTAGCACGCCCACCGTCTTTGTAAATTAGGCCATTTACAGACGCAGAACTCACTGTCCGTCAAGCGCGCTGGAGGACGGGAAAGCGGCTGCTATGTAGGGGAGCAGTGCGCTCGGGCAGCCCTTTCCGGTGCGCAGCTGTGACGCCGCCACGGTGCTGACGCAGGCATCCTCCCCTCACTTCCATGCTGGGAGTGCGAGCCGGTGTGGCTGCCGGTCCCTCCGTGCCCTCTGAGCCGGTGTGGCTGCCCGGTCCCTTCGTGCCCTCCGAGCTGGTGTGGCTGCCGGTCCCTCCATGCCCTCTGAGCCAGTGTGGCTGCCCGGTCCCTCCGTGCCCTCTGAGCCGGTGTGGCTGCCGGTCCCTCCGTGCCCTCCTGTTGGGGGCCCAGCCCGGCCTGCTGCCTTCTTCACTTTCCTCGTCCTTTTGACGAGGCCTGCTGGCATCTGCTCAGGAACCTCTCTGGAATCAGCATCCCACCCTGGGGCTCCCCACGGCACTGACTGTGCTGCGCTGCACACGTAGACCCCGCGCTGCACACATAGACCCAGTGCTGCACACGTAGACCCCGCGCTGCACACATAAACCACACGCTGCACACGTAGACCCCGCGCTGCACACGTAAATTACACGCTGCACACGTAGACCCCGCGCTGCACACGTAGACCCCGCGCTGCACACATAGACCCAGTGCTGCACACATAGACCCAGTGCTGCATACGTAAACCACACGCTGCACACGTAGACCCCGCGCTGCACACGTGGACCCTGCGCTGCACACATAGACCCCGCGCTGCACACGTAGACCCCGTGTTGCACACGTAGACCCAGTGCTGCACACGTAGACCCAGTGCTGCACACATAAACCACACGCTGCACACGTAAAGCCCGTGCTGCACACGTAGACCTAGTGCTGCACATGTAGACCCCGCACTGCACACATAAACCCCGCGCTGCACACATGGACCCCCTGCTGCACATGTAGACCCCACTGTACACATGGACCCCGCGCTGCACACGTAGACCCCGCGCTGCACACGTAGACCCTGTGCTGCACACGTAAACCCTGAGCTGCACACGTAAACCCAGTGCTGCACACGTAATCCCCGTGCTGTACACATAAACCCAGTGCTGCACACGTAGACCCTGAGCTGTACACATAAACCCCGTGCTACACACATAAACCCAGTGCTGCACACGTAGACCCTGAGCTGTACACATAAACCCCGTGCTGCACACATAAACCCCGTGCTGCACACGTAGACCCTGAGCTGTACACGTAGACCCCCTGCTGCACACATGGACCTCCTGCTGCACGCGTAGACCCCCTGCTGCACGTGTAGATCCCGCACTGCACACGTAGATCCCGCACTGCACGCGTAGATCCCGCACTGCACACGTAGACCCATCTGAATGTGCATTGTATGCCACAGCACATTACATCTTTGCATTTATGTCTATATTTTGAGTGTATTTTTGAAGATTTATTTATATATTGGAAAGAGTTACATGTAGTGAGACAGAGACTTCCATTCTCTGGTGCACTTTCCAGATCGCACAGTGGCCGGGCGGGGCCAGACCAGAGCCAGGAGCCGGGAGCTCCATCCAGGCCTCCCAGGGGTGCAGGGCCCTGAGCACTCGGGCCGTCCTCTGCTGCTTTCTCCCAGGCACCGTAACAGGGAGCTGTATCGGGAGTGTAGCAGCCGGTACTTGACCTGGTACTCAATTGGGATGCCAGTGTCTAGTGGCACCCCCTGTGCCTCAATGCTGGCCCCAAGTTTGTTTGTTTAAAAGGCAGACAGAGCCGGCACCGCGGCTCACTAGGCTAATCCTCCACTTTGCGGCGCCGGCACACCGGGTTCTAGTCCCGGTCGGGGCGCCGGATTCTGTCCCGGTTGCCCCTCTTCCAGGCCAGCTCTCTGCTGTGGCCCGGGAGTGCAGTGGAGGATGGCCCAGGTGCTTGGGCCCTGCACCCCATGGGAGACCAGGATAAGTACCTGGCTCCTGCTATCGGATCAGCACAGCGTGCTGGCCGTGGCGGCCATTGGAGGGTGAACCAACGGCAAAAGGAAGACCTTTCTCTCTGTCTCTCTCTCTCATTGTCCACTCTGCCTGTCAAAAAATAAAAAAAATAAAAAAAAAAAGAGGGATTGTTCACTTCTCAATCCTTTCTATAAAAAAAAAAAAAAGGCAGACAGAGAGAGAGACCAGTCCACTGATTCATTGCCCAAATGCTCTGAACAGCCAGGGCTGGGCCAAGCTGAAGCCATGAGCCTAGCACTCTATCTGAGTCTCCCGTATGGTGCCAGAGAACCATCACCCACTGCTCCTGGTACACACGGTAACAGGAAGCTGGCACCAGGAGCAGACTGGATATCCTGGCCTGGGCATTCTGATGTGGGGTGGGCATCTGGCTATTAAATTTGTTTTTAAAGATTTATTTATTTATTTGAAAGACAGAGTTACAGAGAGGTAGAGAGAGAGAGGGAGGGAGGGAGGGAGGCAGGGAGGGGCTTCCATCTGCTGGTTCACTCCCCAGTTGGCCACAATGGCCGGAGGTGTGCCAAACCAGAGCTAGGAGCTTCCTTTGGGTCTCCCTCGTGGGTGCAGGGGCCCAAGGACTTGGGCCATCTTCTACTGCTTTCCCAGGCCATAGCAGAGAGCTGGATCAGAAGAAGAGCAGCTGGGACTCGAACCAGTGCTGTATGGGATGCCGGCACTGCAGGCGGGGGCCTTACCCGCTGTGCTGCAGCACCGCCCCTTCCATTTGTGCATATTGTCTGCACGTGCTTCCATCTTAGTCATCATCTCAGAGACATGGGGTGCTTCTGTGCCTCGAGTGCTGCCGTTAGCGGAAGCAAAGCTCTCGAGGCGCACGTGTGTCTGCTCCCGTGGGTGTGGGTTCACTTCTGCGCCCTGCAGAGCAGGATCGCGCCGGCCTGTCTGCAGGGGGCCTCCTGCCCGCTTCATTCACAGGGGACACCCCCGGGCGGGCTCCGGGCTGCCCCGCTCTGCCCCTTGGTGCTGCAGAGAGAGAGACGTGAGCGCTAGCATGACCCCAGCACCCCTTGCTGCCTGCACACACCAGCTCTGCCTGACTGCCACACAGAGCCGGCACAGACACCTGTGTGGACAGTGCCAGTGGTGTGTGGCTGTGGCCAGGGCCTGGAGGGAGGAGTGTGTCCCCTGCCTCAGAGGCTGCCGTAAGCAGTGTCAGGGCTGCTTGAGCTAGATGGACTGTAGACTTCACTTCTGGAGTGGAGTGCCCGGAGGCTGCAGTGGGCCCTGCCCACACGTGTCCACCCCGGAGGCTGCAGTGGGCCCTGCCCACACGTGTCCACGCCAGAGGCTGCAGTGGGCCCTGCCCACACGTGTCCACCCCGGAGGCTGCAGTGGGTCCTCGCCACACGTGTCCACCTTGGAGGCTGCAGTGGGTCCTCACCACACGTGCCTGCCCCTGGAGGCTGCAGTGTGCCCTGCCCACACGTGTCCACCCCGGAGGCTGCAGTGGGCCCTGCCCACACGTGCCCGCCCCTGGAGGCCTCAGGGGTCCTCACCACACGTGCCCGCCCCTGGAGGCCTCAGGGGTCCTCACCACACACGTCCGCAACCTTGGGGGTCCCAGGGCTGCTCCCAGGGCTGCATGTGCTGTGCTTTCCTGCAGCCCCACGGTCACGACCACCTTGAAGAACCTCGGCGCACTTTACAGACGTCAAGGCAAATTTGAAGCTGCAGAGACACTGGAGGAAGCTGCCATGAGGTCACGCAGACAGGTGGGTGGGTCCCCTCCGGCTCCCACTGACCTGTTGGAGCTCTGAGTCGTTGCTGCTTTTCAGTTGGAAGGTAGAGGCAGAGAGAGAGCTCCCACCTGCTGGTTCACTGCCTGAATGCCTGCAACAGCCGGGGCTGGGCCAGGGCGGGGCCAGGAGCCAGAGCTCCATCCTGGTCTCCAGCACGGGGGCAGGGCCCACGCTCTGCTGCTCTCCCAGGCGCACTAGCAGGAGCTGGATTGGAAGTGGAGCAGCTGGGACTCGAACCGATGCCTGTGCATCAGCGTCGCAGGGGCAGCTTAACCCGCTACACGCCAGTCCCTGGAACTTTTTTAATGCTTGTTTCTTTGCATGACTTTGAAAGTTTGATTGAGAAATAGAAAATTTTGACTATTTTTGTTAGTACAAATAAAAGACCATTAATAAGATACTGAGCACGAGCAGCAACAGCAAGATCTGATTGTTTGATTCCCCAGAATTCACCCTCTGAGGGCACCACGAAGAAAGTCAAACCACAGCAGAGCCCAGGACTCGAACCAGTGGGAGCCTGTGTGGGACGCTGGCACTGAGGCTGCGGTTTAACCCGCCGGCACCACAGCGCCTGCCCCTAGTCCAGTAATTTCTGTGTTATTGGAAAGAAGAGAATATTATCATATTACGATTCTGATTATCAAGTACAGTTGAGTCACGTGGTGTCCATACCCCTGTTCTCTAAGGCAGTGTTTGTTACAGGTAGAACGTTTCATTTATGTTACCTTTTTTTTTTTTTGTCAGCTGTACTTAGAAGTAACATTTGTATTTCAAATACCCGAATTGCACTGTGTCTACGTCTTTCCATCCCTAGCTCTTCCCGGCCCTCCTTTGAGAGGTGGCGTTGATGTCTGTAGATTCGTGCATTCGTATCTTGGGAACAGCAGGGATCTTCAGTGTTATGAAAATAATACATGTGACTTCACAGTTCTTGCACCAAAGTAAACCTGTTTTTCTTTCATTTCCCCATAAAAAAGAAAAAAGTGAAGGGACAGCCCACTCAGCGGCGAAGCTGCCTGCAGGTCATTGCTGGTGGTCAGTGTCAGGTGTGGAGACGCCTCTGACGGCAGCAAGCTGCCCCTCGCGCCCGCTAGGATGGCCGTTGTGAACCACGTGGGACGTCACAGGGGCTGGGAGGGGCCTGGCAGCCGGCGCCCTCGTGCTGCCGGGAGGGAGAGCAGTGGTGCAGCACCGTCTGGTTGCTTTGTGCAGTTGCCGAGCGTTGCTTGGCCGGGGGACCCAGAGGGTGGAGCACGGGCTGGTCATCACTGCAGGGGGCCGTGCCCAGTGGTCTCTGCAGACACTGGACTAGGCGGAGGTGCTGTCTGGGTCGCGGTGAACTGTGTTTTCCAAGTGGATCTGCAGATGTCCAGCTCTGGGCCACTGCCGCGGAGGGCCCCACGCCCGTGGCCACCCTGGAGGCCTCTCCCTCCCCTCGGAGGAGCCGCTGTTGTCATGTGTCCCTCTGGAACTGGGGGTTCCGATTTTCCCAGCGAAGTGAACGCGAGCGCTGACGCGTCCCGTGCTTCCCGTCCTGGCCCGCAGGGTCTTGACAATGTTCACAAGCAGAGAGTGGCCGAGGTGCTCAATGACCCTGAGAACCTGGAAAAGCGCAGGAGCCGCGAGAGCCTCAACGTGGACGTGGTCAAGTACGAGAGCGGCCCAGACGGAGGGGAGGAAGTGAGTATGGGCGTAGAGTGGAACGGGGTAAGTACAGCGCGGCGCAGCCTGGCAGCGCTCGCCGGGCCCCCGCCCCTCCGTGCCAGGCAGTCGCCCGCTCTCGGATCAGCTGCTGCTTTCGCTTCCTTAACTTGCGCTCGCTCTGTGCGTACTGGAAGGGGTGCTTTCTCAAGCGGTCGTGGGCGCTGTGTGGCTGAGTTCTGAGCACTTAATGCTAGTGAGTGTCCTTGCTCCAAACTGTCATCCTTAACCTGATTCACGTTAACGCGGGGTCAGTGTGGCGGACAGCTAACTCGCGTCTTTAACTCACCCGTTGGGTCGCTAACTACAGTGCTGCTAACCTCCGGGCGGGCGCTGCAGGTCTGAGGAGTTCAGGAGGGGGGCCGTAGGGCAAAGCCCTGAGGTCCTGCTCCCCCCTCTGCCTCAGCTCTGGGGCTGTGCCGGGTGCTGACCGCTGACACAGAGTGGGCCCCTGAGCCTGGCCCAGCCCCGGGTCTCTCCCATGCGCCTCTGAGCTGTTTGTCCAGTGGTTGCCAGAGGGCCTTTAGCGAGTGAGTGGAACACACGGGTAGCTTCTGTACATGGAGTGGTGGCTTTGGGATTCTGCCCCTACCGGGCAGGCTGAAGGCAGGCCCCACCGGTTCAGGTGCACGCTCCTCGTCTTGGAAGCTGCATTTGCGCAGCCTGATTAGCTGTAGTAGTGGTTCTGGCCTTTCTTGCCGTCTGCTTTAGTGTGTGACTGCAGCGTGTTCTCGGGATTTCCTGTAGCTGTAGCTGGGTGAGGAGCTGGCGTTTTGCAGGAAGTGTCAGTAGCAGGTCCAGGGGGGCTCTCCCACCGTCTGTACCTGGCTGCTTTCTTGCTCTTTCCTGTGCCGAGACAGCCAGTGAGTGTCTGCTCTGACCCCCCCCCCCCGCCCCGGGTCCTCTGCCCCCCGCTGCAGCCCTGCAGAGCCCCGCGCTGCTTCCTCGACCCAGGGTGCAGCATGAAGTTTAGAGGAACCTTGTTGAGACAGATTTCTAGTCCACATTTATACATCACGCGAGTCAGTGTGTTGGGAGGCTCGGACGAGGGAGGTGTGCGGAGGGGCGTGGGGCTCGTGGGCTGTCGCCGCAGCCCTGCACGCCTGTGCCTCCCCACCCTGGCTCCCTCTCTGGCCCTGACACGTTGTGCACGAGACGTCGGGTGCTGCTCCTGAGCAGCAGGACGGCGCCCTCGGCTGCCGGGGGCCTGCGCTCCGTTCCCGGAAGCCACCCCAGGGCAGTGGCCGCTGACCCGACTGCGCGTGCGGGGGCTCCCGCGGGGCTGTGGCCTCTGGAGGGGCCGACAGGCCGCGGGGCTTCCCGGGAGGGATTTTCCAGCTGAGGGCGTGAGGAGGCTGTGCTGCGCTCCCCTAAGTTTGATTGAATTTTATTTTCGAAGCCTGCCTTTGTGTCTTAGAAGAGGCAGAGGTGGCAGTGTGCGCCTGCGCCTCCCCTCAGCAGCTGGGTTAGTGCGATGGAGATGGAGGGGCGCGGGAGGCGAGCGGGAGCCGGGGCCGCCGCGCTGCGTCCCCTCCTGCTGTGTCCGCACCGAGGTGAGACTGGGAAGTTCCTCACGCTGTTCTCGCACAGCAGAGTGCGCTGAGATGGGGGACGTTTGAGAGCCGGGACCGCTGAGGCCGGCGCTGTGGCACAGTGGGCCCAGCCTCCACCTGCAGTGCCAGCATCTCACATGGGCGCCAGTTCTCGTCCCAGCTGCTCCACTTGGATCCAGCTCCCTGCTAGTGGCCTAGGAGAGCGGTGGAGGATGGTCCAAGTGCTTGGGCCCCTGCACCCGTGTGGGAGACCTGGGAGAAGCTCCTGGCTCCTGGCTCTAGCCTGGCCCAGCCCTGGCTGTTGTGGCCATTTGGGGAGTAAACCAGCAATGGTAGACTCCTGTCTGTCTCTCCCCCTCTCTGTGTAACTCTTTCAAATAAGTAATAAAGTAAATCTTAAAAGATAAATAAAAACCAGTACCAATTCAGCTATTGATAGGTAGGTGTACATCAAGATTTTTTAAAATCGGGAAATAAATTAATTGTTGAGGTAGATGTTAGTGCTGTGACCGTCATCTCTCTCTCTCTCCTTTTTTAAGATTTTATTTGAAAGACAGAGTTAACAGAGAGAGAAAACGCAGAATGATTGTGTATTCCTGGTTCCCTAAATGGCCGCAATGGCTGGGGCTGGGCCAGGCCAGAGCCAGGAGCCAGGAGCTTCTTCTGAGTCTCCCATGTGGGTGCAGGGGCCCAAGCACTTGGGCCATCTTCCACTGCCTTCCCAGGCTGTTAGCAGGGTCCTGGAGAGGAAGTGGAGCAGCCGGGACTTGAACCATCGACCACTGGGATCCAGCACGACAGGCAGCAGCGTAGCTCTCCGTGCCGCAGCGCCGGCCCCGTAACCATCGTCGCAGTGCACAGTGCGGATTCCGAGTTTTATTAGAGTAGCTTCATTGTTCTTATTATAATAAGAACTTATTATGCATCTATAATGAGAAAATACCATTTAGATTGCACCTTCTGTTGGGGTTCTGCATACGATTTTTTTTTTTTAATTTTTTTGACAGGCAGAGTGGACAGTGAGAGAGAGACAGACAGAGAGAAAGGTCTTCCTTTTTGCCGTTGGTTCACCCTCCAATGGCCGCCGCGGCCAGCGCGCTGCAGCCGGCGCATTGCGCTGATCCGATGGCAGGAGCCAGGTGCTTCTCCTGGTCTCCCATGGGGTGCAGGGCCCAAGCACTTGGGCCATCCTCCACTGCACTCCCTGGCCACAGCAGAGAGCTGGCCTGGAAGAGGGGCAACCGGGACAGAATCCGGCGCCCCGACCAGGACTAGAACCCGGTGTGCCGGCGCCGCAAGGTGGAGGATTAGCCTAGTGAGCCGCGGCGCCAGCCCTGCATACGATTTTAACCCTTTAAGAAAGGATTTTAGTGCTTTTTAAAATGTTGCAAACTGCTGAGAAGACCTTGTGCCACAGTGTGGGGCGGCTCCAGACTCAGCAGAGGTGCGGGCAGGGGCTGAAGTCACTGTCAGTGTTTCCACCTCGTGCGCGCAGGGGCCCAGCGCTGGATGCAGCTGCTGCCTTCCCAGGCTCATTAGCTGGGAGCTGGACTCGCTCCCAGGCTCTGAGAATGGGACGCAGGCGCCTCAGGGGAGGATTCACCTGGTGTGCCACTGTTGGGGAATGAGATGATTGCAGTTAGAAATAGATGCATTTTAATGTTTTTTAATTTTTTTAAGTTCTGAATTTAAAACTTTCTGAAGAATTTTGAAGGTGACCAAGATATATACCACAAAGAAATAAATATAAAAGATATATATATATATAAATGTAAAAACACGAAATCATCAGAAATTCTGCTGTACATAGATAGTAGCTAGCACTGTGGTTTTTTTTTTTTAAGATTTATTTATTTATTTATTTGAGAGGCAAAGTTACAGAGAGAGGGAGAGGGGGAGAGGGAGAGAGAGAGAGAGAGGGAGGGAGACAGAGAGAGAGAGAGGTCTTCCATATGCTGGTTCACTCCCCAGATGGCCACAATGGCTGGAGCTAGGCTGATCTGAAGCCAGGAGCCAGGAGCTTCTCCTGGTCTCCCATGGGGTGCAGGGCCCAAGGACTTGGGCCATCCTCCACTGCCTTCCTGGGCCACAGCAGAGAGCTGGATGGAAAGCAGCCAGGACTTGAACCGGCGCCCACATGGGATGCCTGCACTGCAGGCGGCGGCTGGGACTCAAACTGGTGCCTTTATGGGATGCTGGCCCCATAAGCAGGAGATTAGCCCACTGTGTCACAGCCCAAGTCCTCACTGTGTGCATTTTTAATCAGTTCATTGTGCGATGCATTTCTGGTCAGAAACCCCACGTTAGCAACATAAATATTCTCTCACTGCAACTGACAGAGGCAGACAGGTTTTGAAAGTTCTGGAGTGGGTGGATCCCACGTGAGGTGGCGGCCAGCCTTCCTGCTGGGTCTCCGGGGCCCAGGGCCTCGGGTGGCAAGAGCAGGCTGGGCAGGTGGGTGGCCCTGTCAGCCCAGGGGCTGAGTGTGGGAAAAAACCAGACACAGACATGAAGTGCCGGTGTGTACTGTGCCGAGTGTCCAGGTGCGGTCCAGCAGAACCAGCCCCGCCGCAGTGTGCCCAGGGCCGGCAGCTAGCGGAGCTGTGGGGGCGCCCGCGTCCTTCCCAGAGCAGCCAGGACGTGTGTGTGCGGTCCAGCAGCGCTCTCGAGGCGTTGGTAACAAGTTTTATTTTTCCATTTAAAGATGAGAAAAATGAAGCTCGGGCTGGTTAAATGACCTGCTCAGCGGCCATGGTGAGTCAAGTGGGCGGGCGCAGGCGGCTGCTCTGCGAGCTGGCACGCCAGGGGCGCCACTGCCTGTGGGCCACTCCGGTCTGGAGCGGCCCCTGCATGTTCAGACGCGGATAGGCCGTGGTTTCTCAGGTTCCGAGTGTCTGCCACGTCAGTGTTTCAGAAGTGGGAGCCCCTCCTGGCCTCAGGGAGGACGTCGGGGTCAGGGGAGCAGCGCCCATGGCTGCGGGGCCCTGGGGCTGCGCTCAGTTCGGAACCGCATTTCTGTACGGTGGCTTAGAAGCCCGTTCACTGGGGGGGACTGCGGACACAAGCCCCTCCCTGAGACGCGTGCTCGGCTGAGCCCCCGGCCCAGCAGAAGCAGGCACAAGGCCGCCCCAGGGCCAGGCCGTGCAGGGCAGCGCGGGGCGGGGCTGTCCTGTCTGGCGTGGTTTCACGTGCTCTCTCGTTTCTGTCTGACAGGCCTAGCCGCCCGTGTGCCTCTCCGCCGCTCCTGCATGCCGGGCGGCGCTCCTCCAGCTCCCTCTCTCTCCAGCGCCGCCTGCTGTGTCTAGCCACCCTAGGATCTATCAGACTGCACCTCTCTGTGACTGGCCACTCCTCTCGGTGCTGCTGTCCTTTGTGGGGGTTCCTGACTCTGTATACTTGTAGCTTTGCCAGATATGTACTTAGGATTATAACTGTATTAATAAAACCCATTACTGTGTAATACATGAGTGTGAGAGTTAAGAACGACTAGCTGTTCACTGTAGCAGGCAGCTCCCAGTGTCACACAGGTGTTAGCCAAGGCATGAGGCCCCTGCACGTGCTCCCCTCACTCAGACCCCGCGAGCGCCCCGGGCCCCCGGGCCCCCCAGGATTTGCGAAGTAGCATTTGCTGTGTAGTCTTTGTGTGACATTTTGGCAATTCTGCTTTTCTCTACTAATCTTCAAGTGCTCGGTGGTTGTGTATTTGTGTCTTTCTAACTTCTAATAAACTCACTCCAGCTGACCTGTGTCCCGTCTGTCTGCTTCCTAGCACTCTGCTCACTCTGGGGGCGCAGGCTGGGCGCTTCCGGAGGTGACGGGTTCCTGCTGCTAATCCTACTAAGTGATTCCTGCCAAGAATAAAGGTTCTGTGTACACACTGTTCACGTGTTCTTGATTTTCATGTGCAGACAGACTGGATTGTGTTCGATTGCTCATGTCTGAAACTGTGGGCCACAGCCAGGCCACCCTTTGCTTGCAGGTGTCTAGGATTTTTGGTGATTTGCACAGTGAGCATTCTGGTTAACTCCCAGCCATGTGTATGCTCACATGCAGGGCAGACATCCTGTGAGGGTGCTGGCGGGCAGAGCCTCTGGGTGGCGCTTAGGCGGCCTGTGCAAGGGACGCGGCCGCCAGGTCTGGTGGCACTTCCCTGGCACGTCCCTGGCACGTCCCGGGGGGATGCTCACGCAGTAACCAGACTCGGCGGGGCTGGCCCGCCCGCAGACGGCAGCGTCAGTTCTCCTTGGGGGATGCAGTTCCTTCCAAGGAGCTTCTGGCCTGGAAGGAGGCGCAGCCTTCGGGCGGTGGGGACTGCTGGCGCGGGGCCTGGCGCGGCGTCACCGCTGTCGCGTCTCTTGCAGGACGGCGGAGGATCTCTAAAGCGCAGCGGCTCCTTCACCAAGCTCCGGGCTTCCATTAGGCGCAGCAGCGAGAAGCTGGTCAGGAAGCTGAAGGGCGGAAACCCGCGCGAGAGCGAGCCCAAGAGCTCCGGGTAACTGCCCCTCCCGCCTGCGCCCGCGGCCCGCCCCCGCCGCCCGGCCGCAAAGCCTCCCGCGTGGCTAGACAGGGAACGTCTGGACCTCGGGTCCTGGCCCTCCACGGGAAAGCCGCCGTCGTGACGGGTTTTGACACGGAAGTCTTGAAGGGTTAGCAGCCCACGCGGCAGGGAGCCCGCTCTCAGGCCTCTTGCGATGTTGAAACCCGAGGTGGCGGGCGGCAGGGTCTCCAGCCGTGCCGTGCCGTTGGCGGGGGAAGCCCCAGCTCGCTCAGCAGCCCCACCCTCAGCTGTCCCTGGAGACCCAGGGTGCCGACGCACGTGCCCTTGCCACGCTCGGCTCTCACGGCCTCGTCACGGCCCTCTCACTCAGTGCCGCTCGTGACCGGGCCCCGCCCTCTCGGTCTGAGAGTTGGCCCTGCGTGGTCAGCAGGGAGCCGAGGCCCTTGGCGTGGGGCGGCCTCGCGGTGACTGGTGGGCCGAGACCTGTGTGCTCTTGTCCGGAAGGCTGATGGCTGTGGAACCGCAAGGACAGGTCTTCGTCGGGCCGTTTGTGCTGAGGGTGCGCAGCGGGGTGGCCCGCGCCCCTCCCACGCCCTCACGGCTGTCGTGGCTCCTGGAGGCGGCGAGCTGGTCTCGCAGGCCTGCCGTCCTCACGCCTCTGTGCCGGCTCTGAGTCTGAGTGTGGAGCGGGCCCTGCCCTCCGCGTGACAGCGGGGTGTTCCTGCGGTTCCCTCGCTCTCCTCTGTCTTTAGCAGGATCACAAAACTGAACACAGCGTAGCAGCCCCCGTGACCAGAGCCCTCGGTGCTGTCGGGGCTGGCACCACCCGCCCTGGCGTACAGATGTGGGCACCGGTTCAGGTGGGCGTTTTCCCAATCACTTAGCAAGTCCCACATCATCGAATGACCGCCCAGCTGGGCCGGTCCACTCGGGCTCCCGGTTGACCTTTCTAGTGAGTTCGGGGTCGCGCTGGCCTGGATGTCGCGGGGCCAGTGTTCGCAAGGGCAGGAGGCGCGGTGGCCGGGAGTCAGGCTGCCCCTCCCGCCTGCGGGGGCAGCAGGAGGTGGCACTGAGCGTTCAGAACGCGACTCACCTGGATCCGGTTCGATTCCCTGCTTAGTCCGTCAGCAGTTTTAGGGAAAAACTGAACGGACTCCAGCAACATTTGTGTAGGCTTTGGGGGAGCCGTTAGTGTATCCTGGCTGGGACATCTTGGGGTGAGCTGATTGGAGGGAAACTGCCGCTCAGGAGTTGCCAGCCCTCGGGGACCTCGGGGAGCGCTGTGGGCACTGGGGCGGCTGCGGCGGCGGTTAGTTCAGCCTTCGCGGCTCGGGCGGCCGTGGGAAGGCCGTCAGTGACCACTGTCCACACCCACACTGTCAAGTATGGTCACAGGTGATGGCAGGCTATTGGTGATCAAGTATTTCAAGACCTCAAATGGGAGAAGATGTGAGCGTAAAATCCCTGTGATTTTTTAAGTGTGTAGCCATAAGTTGTTTTTTTTTTTTTTTTTTTTTTTTAAGATTGATTGATTGGCCGGCGCCACGGCTCACTAGGCTAATCCTCCATCTGCAGCGCCAGCACCCCGGATTCTAGTCCCGGTTGGGGCACCGGATTCTGTCCCGGTGCCCCTCTTCCAGGCCAGCTCTCTGCTGTGGTCCGGGAGTGCAGTGGAGGATGGCCCAAGTGCTTGGGCCCTGCACCCCATGGGAGACCAGGAGAAGCACCTGGCTCCTGCCTTCGGATCAGCGCGGTGCGCCGGCCGCAGCGGCCATTGGAGGGTGAACCAACGGCAAAAGGAAGACCTTTCTCTCTGTCTCTCACTGTCTACTCTGCCTGTCCAAAAAAAAAAAAAAAAAAAAAAAAAATTGATTGATCTGAAAGGCAAAGTTTTACAGAGAGAGCTTGGTCTTCCATTCACTGGGTCATTTCCCAGTGGGGCTGGGCCAGGCTGGAGTCAGGAGCCTGGAGCTTCATCCGGGTCTCCCAAGTCGGTGGCAGAGGCCCACCTTCCGCTCTCTCCCAGACACATCCGCAGGGAGCTGGGTCGGAAGTGGAGCAGCCGGTGCTCATATGGGATCCTTGTCACAGGTGGCAGCTTACCCACTGCGCCACAGTGCCGGCCCCTAACATAGAAGTTTTGGTTTTTAAGTGAAATACCAGCTCAAGTTCATTTTAATAATGATAAAGTTATTGTTCCTAGTTTTTTTTTGACAGAGTGGACAGTGAGAGAGAGAGACAGAGAGAAGGGTCTTCCTTCTGTTGGTTCACCCCCCAAATGGCTGCTACGGCCGGCGCTGCACCGATCCGAAGCCAGGAGCCATGTGCTTCCTCCTGGTTTCCCATGCGGGTGCAGGGCCCACACACCTGGGCCATCCTCCACTGCACTCCTGGGCCAGAGCAGAGAGCTGGACTGTAAGAGGAGCAACCAGGACAGAATCCAGCGCCCCGACCGGGACTAGAACCTGGGGTGCTGGTGCCGCAGGCAGAGGATTAGCCTAGTGAGCCACAGCGCCGGCCTGTTCCTACTTTTTTTTTTTTTTAATTTATTTATTTATTTGAAAGTCAGAGTTACACAGAGAGAGGAGTGGCAGAGAGAGAGAGAGAGAGGTCTTCCATCCAATGGTTCACTTTCCAATTGGCCGTAACAGCTGGAGCTGTGCTGATCCGAAGCCAGGAGCCAGGAGCTTCTTCCAGGTCTCCCACACGGCTGCAGGGGCCCAAGTACTTGGGCCACCTTCTACTGCCCTCCCGGGCCACAGCAGGGAGCTGGATCGGAAGAGGAGCAGCCAGTCTTGAACTGGTGCCCATATGGGATGCCAGCGCTTCAGGCCGGGGCGTTAACCCGCTGCGCCACAGCGCCGGCCGCTATTTCTACTTTTAATATAGAAAAATACATTCTGCATCTGCGCTTGAGTGCGAGTGCCCCCAGGGCCACCCACTCCCTTCCTAAACGCACTTGGCTGCACCAGCAGGGGGCGCCACCTGCAGCCCTTAGACAGGAAGGGAAGGACGCGGTGCTTGGGGAGAGCATCTGGCTGAGGGTGGGCACTGGACACGGTGGACGGACGTCCGTGTGAGGGGTGCGTAGCGGTCAGGGCGAGCCAGGTAAAGGCCGCCTCCACCCGTGGGCCGTCCCCAGGACCCCCAGTGGAGCAGGTCACTGCGGGGCGAGGAGGGACAGCTCTGCCGTGTCTCCTGTTGCCGTCTGACCCATGTGCTGATCTGTTTGTCCTCGCATGTCCGTGTCCGGGGCGCAGCCTGAAGCGTGCCAGTTCTCTGAGCGTTCTTAACCTGAGTGGCAAGGCCTCTGAAGACCGCTCGCAAGTAAGGAGCCTGCCCCGGGGCCGCTCTGGGCTGCACGGCTGCACGGTGGCGGCTCTGGCCCCCGGTCTCTCCCCAGCGTGACGGCGGTCGTTGAATACCCCTCGTCACCACGCCGATGTGCCGCGTGGCCGGCTGTGTGTCACTCACTCACTCCTTGTCTGAGTCAGCTGTCGCTCCAGCTCCAGGGACGCAGTGACTGACACGCTGTCCCCGTCAGTGTCCCTTTCCATCCTTCGGGTTGGCACCCATGGGTCCCCTCCTCCTTAAAAGAATGGCGTCTGCGTTCTCATTTCTCTTCGCAGTCAAGTATGGCCGCCGCAGTGTGGCCAGGGCCGTCCGTGTCTAGAACCTGGTCCTCTTGCCCAGGTGCCTTGAGCAGACGTGCCAGCCTCGGAGACCGTGGCTTTTGGCAGCGGGCCTGGACTGTGGCTGGTGGGGACACTTCTAGCTGACAAGCTATTAGGTGGCGATGGACAGCAAGGGCCTTGCCGCTAGCCTGCCCTCACCGGGCCTCCCCGTGGCACCCTTGGGAGGTGGCCTCTCACGTGCTGCACCCCCAGGCCTCCAGGAAGCCTAAAGGATGCTGGGTAGTTTGCTTTCAGCACTCCTGGTAACGAAAGGGTTGCTGATGAGACAGTCTCTTTTTGAAGATTTATTTATTTTGAACGGGTTAGAGGGAGAGACACAGGGATCGTCCATCGTGCCGGTCACTCCCCGGAGGGCCAGGCTGGAGCCAGGCGCTTCATCTGGGTCTCCCACAGGGGTGCAGGGGCCCAGACCCTTGGGCCCATCCTCTGCCGTTTTTCCCAGGCCATGAGGGCGCGGCGCGGCGTGGGTGGTGGCTGCACCCCTGCCCCACAGCGCCAGCCCCGAGCCTTTTAGCTTCCCGCTTCCTGAGGTTCACACACAGGGGCTTCAGAAACTGGGAAGCCACGTACGGACTTCGGCACCCGTTGCCCCAGGTGAACCTTTCGTTCCTCGTTTCCACCAGCGTTTGGAAGCCCTGGTGTCTGCCCGGGGCCCGGGGCTGGGAGCGCACGCTTGCAGGCCTGCGCCGAGGCCTCGGCACCGCCTGAGTGTAATTCTCCCTGTTTTTTCACGCAGGAACGAAACCTCTGAGTGCCAGCCATACCGACCTGGCCCCCTGAGGTCAGGCAGAGCCAGCTAAACCGGGAGGCGCCGGGCCCCCGCGATCTAGCTGACCTGTGGGGGCAGATGTAGTCCACAGCGGCCCTGCCCGCTCCCTTCTTGCCATGACTCCGAGATGTTTAAGTTCTGACACCATAACGGGCCGCACCGAAGAGCCCAGGACTCGGCCCCGTGTCCTCCGCGTTGTCACCTGGGCCGGAGAGCCGCCGACGTAGAAGTGGTTCCCCAGGGACCGGAGGGGCTTCTCGGCCCGGGGCTGCGGTCACCTGCCCCCCCCCCCCCCCAGCCAGTTTCTCCCCCTGTGGCTAAGTGTGTGGAGGCATGCTTTATTTTTAAAAAAGCTTTTCTTTATAAACAACACAGCGGACTTTGACAGGACGTCAGGTCAACCCCGAGGCCTCCTTTAAGGTCCTGTCTCAGCAGCCGCTCGGCGAGCAGGCGTCCCCGGGCCTCCCCGGGACGGGGGTGCGGGGCCGCTAGCTGGGACAGGTCGGCTCTGTTTTCATTTGCTAGTGTGGGCGGCCCCAGCCTGCCAGGTGTTGTCATGCAGGGCTGTTCAGAATGTCGGTGCTGGGTGAGGAGAGGGCTCTGGGCAGAAGGCTCCCAGCCCTGCCGCCTGGCGCCGACGCCGCCGGGGGCAGAGCCTCCCCTGTGTGACACCCAGGGGGGTTCTGGGGGCTCTCCCCACCAGGAGCCCTGCCTGCCCCCACCCCACGCTGCCGCCTGCCCCGCGTCAGGCCCCTGGCGTCCCTCGGCAGGGCTGCTGCTCGCTAGAAGGCCCGCGTTTGGGAAGCGCACCTGGTGCTGCCGTGGCACGTGGCTCCGGAGCCGTGGGCGCAGACAGGCCTGGGCAGTGGCCCTCGGGCGTCCTGCGGGCCTGCATCCGAGGCCGTGCTGGGGGGCCGAGGGCTCCGCAGGCCTGGTCGTGAGGAAGGGGGCTTCGTGCTTCAGGCCACGGCAGCTCTGGGCGCCGCAGGGTGGTTGTTGAACTCCCAGCACCGCGCCAGCTACGGCCAGTTTGCAGTTCCCGGGAGAGGCGTGCCGAGGGCCCCACGCGAGGCCCGGCCCCTGGTCCCTCAGTTTCCATGAAATAAGAGTGAAAGGCGCCCTGCACGGCACACAGGCGGGGGTGGTGCCCAGTCGTGTCCTACAGGGAAGCCCGTGCTGGGTGACCGAGGGCGGCGGCCAGGTCCGGTGCTGGTGGGACGCACACAGTTAATCTTCTGGAATGAGAAAGCTGCTGGGATATCATGTAATCAGAAGTTTAGGGTTGTAGTAAAATCCATCAAACATCTCCAGTGTCCTTGTTTACGTCTTGCAGGGTGGACTTTGCACTGCCGTAGCCCTGGAACTCCCTTGGGAGATCCGTGTCTGTGTGTGCACGTGGTTCTGAGCCGTGCAGGGGCCCGGTTCCCAGCCCCGGCCAGAGGCAGGTGCGGGCGCCCGTCTGGGCTCACCGGCCCGGCACTGGGTGGGAGGGACCTCAGAGCCACAGAAGCGTTTACAGAATGGTGGAGAGGCCACCTGAGGGGTCTTCAGGGAGAGGACTGGGCCGGGGCCGGCTCTGAGGCTGTTTGGGGGTCGCCAGTGCTGGACACCGCCCAGAGAAGGGCCTCCCGCAGGGCCAGCCCCAGCCGCTCCTGGGAGCAGCCTTTGTCCAGGGGCCCGTCCTCCTCTGGCTGGACTTTGTCTTGCCTGGAAAGTCTTTGGGACTGTTTATAAAATGCTTTATTTTCTGCTCTAAAGGTTGCTGCAGAAAGGCTCTTTGCTAAAAATCCAATCCCAAAGTAGCTTTCTCCCGCCACAGCCGCACTGGGGACGTGCCCTCGGCCGAGCGGGGCGTCCTGCCCCAGGAGCGCCCCAGGAACTCTGCGGCTCCAGGGCCGGCGCCCCCCACCCAGTGCCACCGCAGGGGGCCGCTTGCCTGTCCTGCGTCCCCGAGAGCAGGGAGTGACTCATTGTGACGGTGTGACCCAGAGCAGGGGTTCCTGTGGTGCCGGCAGGCGACAAGCACCAGCAAAGAGGCGCTGACGCCCAGAGGCGACTGCTCCCAGGGCTGGCCGGGCGGGCGGCGCCTGGAGGTGGGGGTGGCCCCGGGTGCACTCTGGGGGTGTGGCATGAGCAGGGTGGCCCCCTCACCTCCAGCCAGCAGGGAGCTTGCCTGGGGGCCACAAGTGGGGGCGGGGCCTGAGGACTGCCCTGCCGGGAAGGGAGCCCCTGTGGGGCTGGGGCAAGGGCCACCAGCCTCCGAGGGTGGGCCTGCGCGCAGTCGGTGGGTGGGTGCGTCCCAGAACCCGGAGGAGGGGAAGCACAGCGCCCCCCACACCCGAGGTGGCCCCTGGGCACTACAGCAAGGGACCGCCCAGGATGCCGGACACACGACCGGTGCCCAGGGCTTCAGGGATGTGGCCAGACGGGGTTCTGTGGACCTGGCCAAGCCACTCTGCAGCCACCCCGTCAGTGGGGCTCCGTTCCCGGGGTCCCACGCACCCCTTCCGAGTGGATGGTGTAGGCGCAGGAGGAGGGGGGCAGGTGAGGGGAGAAGAGCACCCGCAGGGTCCGAGCCGGGCCGCCAAGCACCGCCTCCTCGCCACGGCGCCGGTCGGCCATCAGCCTCAGCAGGAGCTGGTTGGCCCAGGCTGTGCCCAGGGCTGGAGAAGCGCGCGTGTCCCCGGAACTGCGAGGACAAAATGCAGCCCTGACGCCTGTGCCCTCGGCACCCTGCCCCCTGCACCTGGGCCACGCCCACACTCATACTCAGCCCTGCCCCCTGTACCTGGGCCACGCCCACACTCATACTCAGCCCTGCCCCCTGTACCTGGGCCACGCCCACACTCATACTCAGCCCTGCCCCCTGCACCTGGGCCATGCCCACACCCCAGCCCCTGCCCCTGGGCCACGCCCACACTCACCCCTGCAGCCCGGGTGCTGTGTCCTGCTCCTCCACGGTGTCTGTCACCTGCCAGAGCCACGGCAGTCAGCTCGAGAAGGCCTCGCGGGGTGCCCACGCCACACCCACCACACCCACGCGTGCCCCAGCCGGAAGCTCACCTGGTTGATGCACAGCACCGGGCTCTGGAAGGCGTGGCTTAGCCGCCGCAGTGCCGCCCCCAGCGCCTGCAGACGCCTGGCCCTGGGCACTGAGGCCTGGGCGTCAAACTCACAGCGGAATGGGGCTGCCACGGAGTCGATGACCACCAGGCGGGCCATGCCCCGAGACAGCAGGACAGGGACCTTCCGAGTCACGCACTCCAGCAGGGCGTCCTGCGCAGGGAGAGGCGGGGAGGGAGCCCCAGAGCCTGTGACCCTCGGCTGCTCTCCTGCGAAAGGCTCAGCCCTTCCCTCCCGCCTGCTGCCCCACAGCTCACGCTGGCTTCCCGGCATGCCCCCCTCCCGCCCTCCCCGCCCGCACTGTCACCGCGGTGCCTGGTCCCCGCCCTTCTGTGGCTCCACCCGGTGCTGAGGCCACAGAAACCTCCAGCCAGGGGCCACCCTGACCACCAGGCCGCTCTGGATGAGCCCTGGGAACAGCCGGCCTGTTGGTGTCCGGGCTGGGGGGACCCAACCGCCCGGGCACAGAGCTCGGGTGCTCGCGGGCTGCAGACAGGGTGGCCGGGCCGTCTAAGGCAGCGGCCACTGCCCCCCTGAGGGAGTCCCGCGTGTGCTTTGTCCCCAGGGCGTCCATGGCAGAGTTCCTCTGTGCGGAGAATGACAGCAGCAGCCTAGAGGACGCTAACGTGAACGTGAGTTCCGCCGCCTCGCCCACAGCGGGCAGGGGGTGGGGCCTGTGGCCACTCTGCAGGCCTGGGCGTCCGCATGTGGGGGGGACAGGTGCAGCCCCAGGGCTGCCCGTGCAGGTGAGGAGGGTGCGTGCCTGCCCCGAGAGCACGGGTCCCCCCGTGGCACTTCAGGTGGACACTGGACAGAGCTGCTGGCCACATGCAGGCCTGACCTGTGGCCTTCTCTTGCAGTGAGCCTGGCCTGCCCTGGACTGAGGACACCGCAGGTGGCCTGGGGCCGGCCCCGTGACGGCCTGGGCTGGGCTGGAGGGCCTGCCGCCTGGCACCCGCGGTACAGCGCTGCGGCATGGCCCTGGGCGCCTGCTGGGCGGGGGCCTCGTGTGGCCTGGGGCCCCAGGGCCCGGCTGTGCCCGTGCGGCAGATCCAGGGGCTGTGTCCCGAGCCTGCTGGGCCTCTGTTAACTTGTGTGTGTGATAATGTATTTTATTGTAAATTTTTTTAAAATTAAAAGTTTATACAGCTCGTCCTTTACTTGAAAACGTTTCTGTAACAACGCTTCAAAGTCTGGCCGGCTCTCCCCGAGGTGGGGGCCCTGCCCAGGAGGCCTGGCACACGCTGGGCTGTTCCCCCCGCCCCTACCCCGCTGTGCCTCCCGGACCCTCTGCAAGGCTGGGGCAAGGCCGGGGTCCCCTGGGCCCAGCCGTGTCTGTGCTGCCACGAAGCCAGCATCTGAACGGTAGCCAGGGCCGGGTGCCCGTCAGGCCCTGGCAGGGGGGCAGAGCTGCCCGATCCCCTGTTCCCCGTCAGAGGCGGGGGTGGGGCACCAGGGCAGAGGCTGGAGGGCAGGAGGTGGCAGAGGAGGGTCCTCAGCCCGGGGGGGGACCCTGCCACCTGCCCAGAGGCCACTCGTGCCCCCAGGGCGCAGCGGGCACCTGACCCCGCACCTGGAGCCACCCTCCCAGGCCCGGCAGGACCCTGCTCCCATCCCTCCCCCCCGGCCCGCGCCACGCTCACCACATCTGCCGCGTGCTCCACGAAGATCTGGCTGCTGAACCGTATCTTCCCGACCTCGTCCCGGGCCACGTCTGCCCGCAGCCGCCAGTGCTGCCCGATGAGCTGCTGCAGCCGCCTGGTGGGGAAGGCGCCCTCCGTGCAGATGTAGACGGCGCCTGCGGCACAGGCCCGCTGAGCCACACCCGAGCCCCTGCCCCCGCCCCCGCGGGCCGCACCCCACTCCACAGCCAGCTCACTGGCCGCCCGTGCGGGCTCCACCGTGCTGGACCCAGGGACCAGCAGTTCCCTCCACTGCCGAGGCGCCCGTGTCTCTGCTGTCCCTTGGAACGCCAGCTCACCCGGGGCCCAGCAGCCCTGGGGCAGCCCTGGGGCAGCCCTGGCCCGGGCTCCCTGTGCCAGAGAATCTGCCCCGAGCAGCCCACAGCCGCCCTGAGACTTAGGGCACGCGATTTCCAACAGAGATGCCAGGAAAATCCAGTGGGCGAAGACCTCAACCTGGGGTGCTGGACGCCGGGTACCCACACGCAGAGGGGTGAGGCCGGCCCGGGCCGCACACGCATCCACGGCGGAACTCAGAGGCGGTGGTCAGACCTCGCAGGCGGCCCTGCCCCTCAGGCTGGGCAGTGGTGCGCAGCTGTCACCCGGAAGCACCAGCAAAAACCGCGCTCCGTGGGAAAAGCGTTTGTGCTTCCAAGGATGCCACCGCGATGGGGACACCCACAGGGCCCGCTGGCCGCAGGGCGCCAGCACCCCGGCTGCTCAGCTCTCCACCGTGGCCCGGGAAGGCAGCGGAGGACGGCCCAAGTGCCTGGGCCCTGCACCCGCGTGGGAGGCCAGGAGGAAGCGCCAGGCTCCTGGCTCCAGCCTGGCCCAGCCCTGGCCTCTGAGGCCATTTGGGGAGTGAGCCAGTGGGTGGAAGAGCCCCCCTTCCCTCTCTCCCTGATGTTCTTTCAAATAACTTTTTTTTTTTTTCAAAAGTTCATACAAAATGAAATGTGTGAAGTATTTTTGAAAACCATGCATGTTTGCACGTTGGTGGGAGATGCGGCTGGAGACAGCAGGGTGCAGGGCGCAGCGTTCAGCCACCCAGAGAATGGAGGATGAACCCTAAACCCAGGAAACCACGGGAAAGAAAACCAGTCCCAGCCGGCACTGCGGCCTAACAGGTGCAGCTGCCACCCTCAACGCTGGCGTCGCCCAGGGAAGAAGGCTGCTCCTCTTCCAGCTCTCTGCTGTGGCCTGGGAAAGCGGAAGACGGCCCAAGTCCTCGGGCCCCGCCCCCACACGGAGACCCGGGAAAGCTCCCGGCTCCTGGCTTCGGCCTGGCCCAGCCCTGGCTGCTGTGGCCGTTCCGGGAGCGCACCAGCGGGCAGTCTTTAAGAGGCCCCACAGTGTGCGTCTCCACCCACACGGAATGTTGCAGACAGGCGCGTGCGCGGAGCCCGGCCCTGCCCCCGTGCCTGGCTCAGGGCTTCCCGGGCCAGCCCAGCCTCTCGCTCCCTCTCCGTTCTGGAGGGCGGCACCGCAGAGGGGACACGGGGACAGCAGGGGTCAGCCTGGCCGGACGCGGCCCGGGGCCCCGGGTACTCACCGGCCTGCAGGCCTCCGTGCTGCCTCGGGAACTGCACGGCCAGGCAGAGCTGCAGCGCCAGCTGGGTCTTCCCCGCCGAGCCGGGGCCGGCGAGCTCGGTGATGCCGTCCAGGGGCAGGCCGCCGCGGAGCAGGCCGTCCAGGACCGGGCAGCCCAGACTCAGGCGCTGGTGCTGTGCCGGGAACCTGTCCTTTTGCTGGTGCAGGTGCAGCGCTGTGGGGCAGGTCGGGCGGGGTGAGGGCCCGCCCCGAGGCTGCCTGGCGTCCACCGGGCGTGCTCCTTGGAGGGCCTGTCCGGGGCTGGCACACCGACGAGAAACCGCCGTCCACAGCCAACCCAGACTGCTGGCCGGCACGTCCTGCACGCCAGCTCTTCCATGCCATGTCCCAGGGAGGCTGGGGCCCTGCCTGCCCAGCGTCCCAACGCCGCCCCTCCCCGTGAGGGCCCCTGGGGTCGGCGGGGCGGCTACCAGAGAGGGGCCTCGTGCTGGGTCCCGGGAGGACGCGGCCCCCATCACAGCCTGCTCAGCGCGGGGCCAGCGAGCTCACTGCTGCCGCCGGCCTCTGACGGGCAGCCCTGCCCTGCCTCCTGTGCCCACCCTGGCCTGCTGCCGCGCTCTGAGCTGTGGCCAGCCCCGGGCCCGCGGCACACGGTGCCCACACGGGCGACGACAGACCCACACGTCAGCTCCCCAGAGGCCGGCGCCCGGCGCACCTGTGAGGACGCTGCTGCCTCGCAGGGACAAGGAGGCCGCTCTCAGCAGGTGCCGGACGTCGGGGCCGGACAGGCCGGTCACTCTCTGCAGGTCTGGGCCAGAGAAACGTAGGAGCTCCTTGGCTGACTTCAGTTTGGCTGAAACGAGACAGGGGCTGCCGTCACGCGCACTCCTTGGGACTGGACCCCCAGCCCCCCAAACCCTGAGAAGCCCTGACCGTCCCGGGAAGGGAGGCCAGACCTGACGCCCCGCACACAGGGGCTGCAGGCATGGCCTGGCAGCCGCGGGGACAGCAGGTCCTGGGGGAGAGGAGCCGGTGGGGACAGCGGGTCCGGGGGACAGGAGCCGGCGGGGACAGCGGGTCCAGGGGACAGGAGCCGGCGGGAACAGCGGTGCTGCCCAGGCACCGGGGGAGAGGAGCCGGCGGGCACAGCGGGTCCCGGGGGACAGGAGCCGGCGGGGACAGCAGGTCCCGGGGGACAGGAGCCGGCGGGGACAGCGGGTCCGGGGGACAGGAGCCGGCGGGGACAGCGGTGCTGTCCAGGCACCGGGGGAGAGGAGCCGGCGGGGACAGCGGGTCCCGGGGGACAGGAGCCGGCGGGGACAGCGGGTCCGGGGGAGAGGAGCCGGCGGGGACAGCAGTGCTGCCCAGGCGCCGGGGGACCCCGCTGTGGGGGGAGGGGGCGTGCACGTGTGCGCTGCTCCCCACTTGCGGGCTGTCCCGGTCCACCTGCCTGAGGCGGACGGGTGGCCCGCAGGGTGCAGGCCCCCCCATTCGTCCAGGCCGGGAACCAGGGCTCTGTCTGCGGCGTTCACTTTTGTCTTACTTGAGGCAGGGACCGAGGGACACCGCCCCCCGTCCCGCAGCTGGGCCAGGCTGACCGGAGCCGGGAGCCCCCCCCCCCCGTCTCCCCTCAGGCACCCGCGCCCTCGCCGCCGCCTCCCCCGGCACAGAGCACCCACCTCTCCTGACCGCGGTGATGATTCTGGGGTTCAGGTCCAGCTGATCCATCTCAGTGCGCTGACCGCAGACGGGCGGCGAGCACAGGGCGCTGAGCCCCGCCGCCGAGCCCCGGCTGACGCACCTGCCCGCGGGCGACAGGTGCCCAGCGCGTCTCCACAGGGCCCTGGGGGGCAGGACACTTGGGGAGTCAGCCTCGGGCCACCGGGCGCCCAGCCGGGGACAAAGAAGGCTGTGTCCCCGGCCCGGGCAGGCGGCCTGGCCCTCCCAAGGCCAGGGCGTGCTGGGCGGTGCCGGGGTCGAGGTCCTGGCAAGGCCCGGCGTCCGGGGTCAACTCTGCCGCGGGGGCCGGGGCACGAAGAGCGGGAGGCCGGCCTGCACGATGTCTCGGCCGGGCCGGGCAGCCCCGGGCTCCTGGTCACCCTGGACGCCCTGGGAGGGGCTGGACGTCCTGCTGGGCCCTGCGGCCCTTGTGCTCAAGCCAGTGGCTGTCCCCTTTTGGCCTGAAGCAGGGGACAAGAGGTCCAGCCCCGGAGGCCCTTCCACAGCGGGGGACGTGGGGCTGCGGCTGGGCAGGGCCTGGGCGGGGCTCCGCCCGCTCAGCGGTGAAGACCTGCACCTGGCCAGGAGGTGTGGCCAGCCCAGGGCACGGCCGGGGCGCTGTGGGCAGGCCGCTGGACACACGCCCAGGACCAGCCACGGAGATTCCTCGGCCGGGGGCCTGGCTCCTAGGCTCACCCGCACGGGTCCTCACGGACGTCGGCTTCAGCCAGGTCGGTCTGGCAAGCCCACCCCCGGCCAGTCTTCGGCAGGAGCCCTGCTGGTCACTTCGCCCAGCATCCCCGGCCCCCGCCGGGGCCTTCCGGCGCCGCAGCCCGAGGCCGTGGCTATGCACCAGGCTGCGGCACCCGGCCCGCGCCCACCCGGCCCGCCTCGCGGTGGCCGCGGCCCGCCACAGGCCGACTGCTGGGGTGGACACGCGGCTCTCAGCACAGCGCACGCCCTGGCGGCCGGGCACTCACGCCGGGGCCCGCCCCAGACCCCCGTCCGCAGGGCTCCTCCGGCCTCTTCCCGGCCAGGCCGCCCCCCCTCTGCCCCACGAAGCCCCGGCCCCCGCCCGCCGCGCTCACCTCCCGCGCGCGCCGCGCCTCCCGGCGCTGTCCCGCCCCTCTCGCCGTCTCTGCCAACGAGCGCGGGGTGCCCCGCACAGGCTGCACCAATCAGAGACGAAAAGACGCCTACGTGGCTGACTAAGCGGCCACTCCAAAGTCTCAGTTACCCCGAGGGGGGCGGAGCGGGCCCTGGCCAGCCCTCGCTGCCGATTGGTGACCGAACGCAGAGTGGCGGAGGAGGTGTCCTCGCACCCGTTGGCGAGGACAGCGATGGGGCGGGGCCAGCGTTCCGATTGGTCCGAGCTCCAGGCCGGGCTCAGCGATTGGGCGGCGGCGCCGTCCGCCGCGGGGGGCGGAGACGGGCGGGGCGGGGCGGTGCCCCAGCTGCGCGACAGCCGGGCAGGCGGACGGCCCGGGGCCGAGGCGGCGTCATGTCCTCGGGGGTGGCCGCGCGCCGCGACGCCAAGAAGCTGGTGCGCTCGCCCAGCGGGCTGCGCATGGTGCCCGAGCACCGGGCCTTCGGGAGCCCGTTCGGCCTGGAGGAGCCGCCGTGGGTCCCGGACAAGGAGGTAGGACCGCCCCGCCGCCCGCGCGCGACAGGTGGGCGAGGGGCCCGGCGCTGGGCGCCGCCCGGGAGGCCGCGGGCCGCGCGGCGGAGGCGGGCGCTGCGGCGGGGCGGTGGCCCCGCGCCCCTGCGGTCCGGCAGCTGCGCTTTCCCGCCGGGGAGCGGACGTGCGCGCGGGGCGCCGGGGGCCGTGCGGGGCGCCCCGCGCGCGGCGAGGTGCACGCGCCCTCGAGGCTGCGGGCGGCGCTGGTCCCGAGCCCAGAGGTGACCGGGGTTGTGGGGGCGCTTCGTGCGGGCGGGGCGGGCCGGGCCGCGGGCGGGGGCGAAGTCCGGCCTGGGCTGCAGCGGCCGCGCGGGGAGGGGCGGCCCGAGTGTGGGTCCGCTGCGAGCCTGCGCCCGCCCGGTGCCAGCCGCGGGCGGCGAGGGGCGTCCTCCCGGGGGCGTGGCCGGGGGTCGGGCACGGCTGTGGGGTTGGCACAGTGCAGCCCTAAAACCTGAAGCTGTGGCCGCGTCCCGCGCGGGCTCCTGCTAATGCGCCCGGGACAGCGGTGGAGGCTGGGCCCCTGCGCCCGCGTGGGAGCCCGGGCTTCGGCCTGGCCCAGCCCCGGCTGTGGAGGTCATCTGGGGAGGGAACCAGCGGATGGAACTTGCGAGCGCGCGCCTCTCCGTAGCTCCGCCTTGCAAGTAAGTAAAACTTTGAGAACTATTGAAAAGTAGTGGTGACGCCGAGGACGGGGCCGTGTCGCGTGGCAGCGTCCCCTGCCCGGATCTGGGTGCACAACCTCGGAAGAGACTCAGGATCGCTCCCTTACGAACCCCGGCTGCCCGAGTGGTTGGGCCAGGCCCGCAGGCGAGCCCCAGGTGGGCGGTGGGGGGACCGGACGGGCCGGTTACCCTGCGCGGTGCGGGCCGGGCCCTGTGCAGCCCGGGGCGGGGGCGCGGGCCAGGGTCCTACCTCGGTCCCGGGGCAGGGGCTGCTCCCGGCTGGGCAGCAGCGTGGCTCCTTGGCGCCAGGATCCCCGTCCAGGTGGGCCAGGCCAGAACCTCCCCTGGCGGCACGGGGGCAGCCGCCCCGCAGGGCTGGGCGTGGCCTTGAGGGGTGGGCGCACTGCCCCGGCGGGAGGCGGGTTCCGGTGTGCAGTCCAAATCCTCGGACAGGCGAGCTCCTATCTGTGGCCCCCGCCCCCCCGCCGGGCCTGGGCTGGGCCGGCAGCCAGGAGCTCCGTCGGCGTCTCCAGCCGCGGGCCGGGGTCTGCAGGGGAGCCCGGCGCGGGGCTTAGCTGCTCCGTCTCCCCGGCTCCGTCGCGGATGAGTCCAGGTGAGGTGAGGGAATTCCAGAAGCTACGGAGTGTGGAACTGGAGTTTATTTTGTGCAGGATTCTGAATCCACGCGCAGTCCTCTCCAGCGTGGCTGTCACTCCCGCGGGTGTCTCGGCTCCTGGCCCCGAGGCTGCCCCGCTGTGGAAGGAGCGGGTCGCCCAGGGTGCAGGGGCAGCCAGGCAGCGCCAGCATTTCTTTCAAAGGCGGAGTCCGCCAGGGCCGGGCCAGGCCGAAGCAGGAGCCTGGAGCTCCATGCGGGTCCCCCACGCGGGTGCAGGGCCCCCGCGCCTGGCTCGTCCTGTGCCGCTGTCCCCGGCCATCAGCAGGGAGCTGGAACCAGACTCGGGCCGGCTCCCGCATGGGGGCAGCGGCCTCTGATCCAGGCCTGGGTTTGTCTGTGGCTGCGAGGGGCCCTCTTTTCTTTCTTAAGATTTATTTTTTTATTTATTTGAAAGGCAGAGTTACAGAGAGGCAGAGAGAGAGGTCGGTCGGTCTTCCATCCGCTGGTTCACTCTCCAGATGGCCGCAACAGCTGGAGCTGAGCTGATCCGGAGCCAGGAGCCAGGAGCTTCCTCCGGGTCTCCCACGGGGGTGCAGGGGCCCAGGACTCGGGCCGTCTTCCAGTGCTTTCCCAGGCACAGCAGAGAGCTGGATGGGAAGTGGAGCAGCCGGGACTAGAACCGGTGCCCATGTGGGAAGCAGGTGCCGTGCGTGGTGGCTTTACCCTCAGCCCGGCCCCAGGGGCCCCCTTTTCTTCATATCACCAGCCGGGGGAGACAGGTGCCCAGCCCTTGGCCGGACAGCAGGGGAGTCGGTTCTGAGGCCTCCTGCCCCGCCCCACACCCGCTGTCCCTGTCCCCAGTGAGCTCCCAGCTTACCCTTGGGCACCTGAAGACTGGGGGGGGCGGTGGGCTGAGAGGTGCCCCAGGCTGCCCCTCCCCCTACCCCCTCCCCAGCTGGGTCACCCGTGGGCTGCCCCTCCCCCTCTCCAGCTGGGTCACCCGTGGGCTGCCCTCCCCCCAGCTGGGTCACCCGTGGGCTGCCCCCCTCCCCAGCTGGGGCCACCCGTGGGCTGCCCCCCTCCCCAGCTGGGTCACCCCGTGGGGCTGCCCCTCCCCCTCTCCAGCTGGGTCACCCGTGGGCTGCCCCCCTCCCCAGCTGGGCCACCCGTGGGCTGCCCTCCCCCCAGCTGGGTCACCCGTGGGCTGCCCCCCTCCCCAGCTGGGCCACCCGTGGGCTGCCCCTCCCCCCAGCTGGGTCACCCGTGGGCTGCCCCTCCCCCTCTCCAGCTGGGTCACCCGTGGGCTGCCCCTCCCCCCAGCTGGGTCACCCGTGGGCTGCCCCTCCCCCTCTCCAGCTGGGTCACCCGTGGGCTGCCCCTCCCCCTCTCCAGCTGGGCCACCCGTGGGCTGCCCCTCCCCCTCTCCAGCTGGGTCACCCGTGGGCTGCCCCTCCCCCCAGCTGGGTCACCCGTGGGCTGCCCCTCCCCCCAGCTGGGTCGCGCGGGCTGAGTTGCGCTCGGCCTCCCTGTGTCCGACGTCCACGCCGGCTAGCAGCTTCCTTCGTGGATGATTTCGTTTCACCAGCACAACCACAGAAAGTGCCTGTGTGCAGGGCTGCGGGAGCAGGTGCAGGGGCGGGTGTTGGGGTGCAGAGGTTAGGGCGCCTCCCCCCCCAGCGTTTGCTCACGAGGCTCCATACCCGAGTCCTGCGCCCTTGTGGGAGACCAGGAGAAGCCCCCGGCCCGGGGTGAACCGGGGACGGTGGACGGCGGCTGCTGTCACTCTGCCTTTCAAACACAACTCTAGCAGCTTATTGTCACGTAACACTCGCCCTTTGATCAGGGCTGGGAGGCAAACTCAGCTGCTGGGTGCACCCCCTCTGGAAGCCGGCTTTCCGGTCTGCTGGGGCGGCCCCTGGCAGCTGTCACCGTCACTGCTGGTGCCCAGGGAGCGGCTTCTGGTGGTGGTGTGGCTGGCAGAGCCTCTGAGGGCAGTGGTGGGGGATGGTGGCCAGCCAGGCGCCCTCACAGAGCCGCTGACCGGTTCTGGAGGCCGAGACACGGCTGAAGAGAAACCCAGAGACGGCAGCGAGGGGCTCTCAAGGCCAGGCCCCCACCTCAGTCGCGATGGCTGGTTTGGGTGACCCGCGCCCCTCTGGGGTGCTGTGGTGACAGGAGCAGCGCCGCCCCATGGCCTTGCCCCGGTGATCTGAGGAGTTGGGCTGTGGCCAGACCCCAGGTCCCCACTGGCCCTAGGGAGCTGTTGCCAGGGATTGGATGGCCTTAACCCCCCAGAACCTGGGCGCCCAGAGGCCACGCCCCCTGCAGCCGTGGGCTGTTGGCGGGCCCAGCACGGGAAGGGGCGTTTTACTGTTTCGTCCCCAGTGGATCGATTTCTACAATGACTCCCCTGGGGGCCTGCATGGTGGCTGTGGGGGTCCCACACGCTGCCTGGCCGGCACAGGCTTGCAGGGGGGCATGGTGACCCTGCTGCAGCCCAGCAGGTGGCGCCGGGCCCCTCTGGGAGAAGGGTTGGTTTCTCAGAGCTGAGGGATTCCCAGTGTGTGGGTGGGGAGGCTGAGCGGAGGCCCGAAGGCCAGCCTGGGGAGCCTGGCTGCTGACCACCTGTCCCCCTGGCCTGGCTTCAGATACTCCACGTCAGCAGGCTTGCAGCTGTGAGGCAGCCATTTTGAGCCATCTGACATTTTTTTATTTATTTGAAAGGCAGAGTGACAGGAGAGACATTGAGATCCTGGTCTTCCATCCACTGGTTCAGTCCCCAGATGCTTGGAGCTGGCCCAGGCGGAGCAGCCAGAGGCCCAAGCCCTTGGCCATCCTCTGCTGCTTCCCAGCCCCAGCAGGGACAGGGTGGCATGGACGGGACTGGAGTGGGCACCCCGGTCGGGCAGCACGCAGGCAGTGGTTTTAACCCGCTGTGCCGCAGCGCTGGCCCTAAAGCCCACACTTTCCAGATGTCTTCCTGGCTCATGCTAGGGTCTGTCCACGGCCGACCTTTGGCCCCAGGAACAGGGCTAGGCCGAAGAGCAGCTGCCAGGAGCTCGCGGGTCCTCGGGCCTGCTCCCCGCCCGGACCCCGCAGCTTGACCCCGTCTCTCCTCTCCAGTGCCCGCGATGCATGCAGTGCGATGCCAAGTTTGACTTCATCACCAGGAAGGTGAGCTGAGGCGGGGGGCCGCGGGAGGCCGCGGAGCTGGGCCCGCCACGGCGGCCTTGTGGACGTGGGGGTGCAGCCCTGTGCTGGCCGCTGCGGGCGGCGGGACCGACGCGCCAGGGCTGGAAAGCGGCGCTCCCAGCCCCTCACTGCGCCTCCTCCCCAGCACCACTGCCGCCGCTGCGGCAAGTGCTTCTGCGACCGGTGCTGCAGCCAGAAGGTGGCGCTGCGGCGCATGTGCTTCGTGGACCCCGTGCGGCAGTGCGCGGCCTGCGCCCTGGTGTCCCACAAGGAGGCCGAGTTCTACGACAAGCAGCTCAAAGTGCTGCTGAGCGGTGAGCGGCGCGGGGCTCGGGGACACGCGTGCCACCTCCCCTGTTGGTCCCGGCTTTGCCGGGCCCACCCCCGGGGCAGGCTGCCTCCGGGCCCCTGGCCAGCAGCAGGACGCGACCTGGGCTCAGGGTCGGGGTCTGCCTCGCTGGGGCCTCCGCAGGGCGCCCCTCCGGCTCCGGCCTTACCCGCGGCCCACCCCCACCCCACCCCCTCAGGTGAAGCAGCGGTGGGGGAGGGGTCTGGGTGGTCGTGAGCCCCCTGCCCCGCGTGTCCCGCAGATCACAGGGACGGGCGGGTGCGGGCCGGGTTCACGTCTGCTTCTGCTTCCCAAGGAGCCACCTTCCTTGTGACTTTTGGAAACGCGGAGAAAGCGGAAACCATGGTTTGTCGTCTGTCCAGCAATCAGAGGTGAGAGCCAGGGTCCCGGCCGGGCAGCCCTGAGCCCGCCCGGCAGGGAGTGGACGCGCGGACCTCTGCTTGCGCAGGTACTTGTTTCTGGATGGAGACCGGCACCACGAAGTCGAGATCGCACGCGTGTGCTCCGTGCACACCCTCACGGAAGGCTTCCCCCCTGGAGGTGAGTGGGGGGCGGCGGCCAGCCCCCCCTCCGTGGGTCACTTCGTCACCGCTGGACTTGAACCAGACGTAGCCACTGGGACTCCCGGAAAAGGCTGGAGCGGAGGCCCCGGGGCCCCTCCCGTCACGCCTGGCGCCCCGTGAGCTGCCGGGGCGTCGTCCAGAGCGCATGTTGCTGGCCGCCCGCGTAGCCCCGCCCACTGTCTGACTGGCTTGGTTCTTCCTTCTCTCCACTGCCGCCTGCCTTCCTGACGTAGACAGACACACTCACACTTACACCAGCCTCCTGGGGAGCCCGCCCGCCTCTGCAGGTCAGCCCGTCCCGCCGGTCCCCTGCATGCCTCTGTTCACGGGCAGCCCGTGCCAAGGCTCCTTGTGACACAGTTGTGGGGTCCGCTGTGTGGGACCCGAAGTGTGAATGCTTCATGCAGGCGGCGGCGGCTGTGCCTGCCAGCACTGGGGGGCCAGGTGCACGGCGTGGGGGCCCTCCCGGGCACTCGGGCTCCAGGCCTGTGAGGCGGCTGATGAAGGGCAGGGTCCGGAGAAGCGGGGCTCAGCCCGGGCCCCGCTGCACTGCCACGCCCCCCGCGCAGCTCAGGCGGGCAGTCAGCAAAGTGGCCCCGGCAGACCTGTGAGCGCCGAGCGTGCCCTGGGGGTGGTTTCTGGAGCACATTCCGCCTGCTCTCGCCAGCGTTCCCTCGGACGTTAGAGTCACAGAGGTGGAGAGATCTTCCATCTGCTGGCTCACTCTCCAGATGGCCACAGTGGCCGGAGCTGTGCCGACAAGGCCAGGAGCTTGCGGCTTTGGGTCTCCCACACGGTACAGGGGCCCGAGCACTTGGATCGTCCTCACTGCTTTCCAGTCAGCAGGGAGGTGGAGCAGAAGTGGAGCCGCCGGGACTCCAACCGGCATCCACACGGTACCTGGCGCCGCAGGCCAAGGCTTTAACCTGCTGCACCACAGCGCGGGCTTCTTACAACCTGGAGATCTGGCCAGAGGCAGGTGGGGACAGTGCGGGCCAGGCCCTCCCAAGCAGGGTGACCCCCTTGTCCCGTCCAGGGCCAGAGCCCCGGGGCCTCCTCCGGGGCGGGTCCCAGCTCAGGGTATGGTTTCTCCTCCGCTGCAAGGCCTCCTGACGCCCGCCCAGGGGCGGCCCCAAGCCGTGACCTCTGACCCCCAGGTGTGCTGTTCGGGTGGGAGGCCGACAGCCCTCGCGTAGGGTGCGGTGATGCTCGCGGAGCTTGGTTTGCCCTGGTGCCTTTCGCGCCTGTGAACTTGGTGCCCTCCCCACCAGGAGGCAGCGCGCGCGCTGCGGGCATGTGCCTGCAGTACACGGTGCCGGGTGAGGCGCGCGTGACCCAGCTGAAGCTGACGGCTGCGGAGGACAGCAGCGCCAGCAGGAGGCAGGCACTGGCATGGCTGGCAGCCATGCACAAGGTAAGGGCTGGCCAGGGCGGGGTCCGCCTCCACTGGGGGCTTGACCGCGGTCTCGGCTCTGGCCGGCATTTACGTCTGGTCCCCCTTCAGGCTGCCAAGCTTCTCTACGAATCCCGGGACCAGTAAGCCCACTCGTGAGCTGAGCTCAGAGCGCGTCTGGCCACCAGGCAGGACGGAGCCGCTGTGCCCTGCACACCCCCGGGCCCCTCACCGGGCGGTGCTTCCCCGAGCTACACTGCTGCTGAGCGTGCTCTGTGCTGGCGCCTGCAGACGGTCCTGTGCCGCGGGGCCAGCTTCCTCTTTCTACTTCATGCACACGACTGTAGAGCCATTTGTATACGATGCTTTATGATTAAAACTATTTTGCAAGTACAGGTCAGGCTCCCGCCTTCCCGTGTGCAGAGAACCTGAGCGTGGGGGGAGCCGCACAGGCCCACGGCCTCGGCGCAGCCGGTGCCTCCGGCAGTCCACACACGACTCACAGGAGAAAGCCGAGGGCCTGTGTTTTAATGAGAACATCTCCAGCACATTCTGGCAGTTTCAAACGGCCTGGCTGAAAACCACTTCTGGTGTACAAAAGCCTTGACGTGCACTTCACACGCCAGCGAGCACCCCTGGACTTGAGCCTGGAACGGGGGCAGGCCGCTGCTGCTCCAGGCACCAGCTGCACCCTAGGGGAGCTGCCTGGCAGGTGTGCGCCAAGGCCTCCTGCTCACAGGCATGCGACTCAGGGCCCTGGTGCCAAGTCCGCCAGCCGCAGCACTGGGCCAGCATGAGCGGCCTTAGGTGAGCTAGGCCACCTGGAGCAGGAGGGGGACACCGCACATGGCCCACGTGGGGTGGCCACAGCCTTAGACATGAGTCCCACAGGGCTCCGTGGGTGGTAGGGAGACAGTCACAGGGGGCAGGGCTCCAGCGAGGGGCACACTCTGCGGCACTGGGGGCTGGCGGGGGGGACATGCCCGACAGGGGCCAGACGGATGAGAGCTTTGTCGTCACTGGCAACCAACCAGGAGTTCGTCACGGGCTGCTCGCTGGCAGGGGAGGTGTCTGAAAGCCGGGTATTTATTTGGGTTTACAGTAATTGGCAAATGGGGACAGGCCTCACCTAGGAGCTGCAGGGTTCACATTGTGGGAGGTGCGGGCGAGCACACAGGCGCAGCTTCCTGGGGGCAGAGTCGTCTCGAGGACCCCGCCGTGCTCAAGGGAGCTTCAGGCAAGCGTTCGCTGTCGGGGCTTGATCCGTGGATACAGCTGAGAAGCAGAGGAGGAGCAGGCCTTGGGCCACGGGCACCAGGCACACCTGGGCCTCCACCTGCCGTCTCAGCTTGCCCCCCCCCCCAGCAGGTGCACAGAGCAGGGGCTGTGTTCAGTGGCCAAGGAGCACCAAGGTGGCCCCTCTGCTGAGGCCCTGAGCACATGTCGCCATGAAAGCTGGCCACCTGCAAGCTGCTGTGTTCCCACCCCCACCAGACACTCCGGGCTGCAGAGAATTCTAGAAAAACACACGCATGGCCCGAGGCTGGCCCCAGGCATGGCGGCCCCTTGCAGCGCTCTCGGCTTGCACACGGGCTCCCAGCAGGCCTGGCCCCCCGCAGTGACAAGGATGACCAACTCCCACCCTGCAGTGCAGAGGGCGCGTGGCGTGCTCACCCCCAGCAGGTTTTTGGGCACATAGCCCTCCCGCTCGCCAAGGCGCGCCCACCACCACTCGGTCTCGCTCTCGTCTGCACGTCGCAGGATGCTGATGGTGTCCCCTTCATGGAAGGACAGCTCGTCACTGTGCTGGGCCTCGTAGTCCCACAGCGCGTAGACGGCACCCTTGTTCATCACGCCCAGCTTCTCCTGCACACCTGGAACCAGAGGACACGGGGCCTCAGCAGAGTCCCTCCAGGGCAGGACCACGAGGTGGAGGTCGGGGACCAGGGCCAGCCCCGGCACCACAGGCCTCGCCAGCCCCGGCAGCTGCCCTGTGTCACCAAGAGGAGGTGCTTCCACTGAGATGCTGGCTTCAGAGATGCAGGTGTGTGTGGTGAAAGGCATTTCTTAGGTGAAGCTTGCAAGTCCGACCTAGGACAAACTTCCCCAAGACACCTCCTCCTGGGCCAGTGAACAGAGAACAGAGGTCCCTACAGCGGGCCCCGCCCACACAGCCACTCACGTGGCTGAGCCACAACCTCCCAGTGAGCCCACAGGCATGGGAGAGGGCCGTCCTGCGGGACACCTGCTTCCAGCCCGTGACAGCTGCCGTCCCTCTCCAGGTTGGCCAGATTCCCTGGGCTCTTGGGTCACCACTCCACAGGTGTGTGACTGTGTGGCCTGGTGGCTGTCTCAGTTCACCCCTGGACCCAGGAGGCTCCCAAGTTCTACTTGGAATGAGTGGCTGTGACTCCTGGGCTTCAGAACAGGGCTGTCCAGCTCCTGGGCACCCCAGCCCTGGCTGGAGCAGCGTAACTTGGACACAGGCTTCCCTCACTGGGCCCTTGGCATGCAGAAGCGCACCCAGCAGCCGGCGTGCAGACGGGAGAGCAGCAGAGGGATCACCTGTGTGTTGTGGCCCGGAATCCTCTGGTGTGGATTTCCACATTTTCAGGACTGACTGAAGGGGCAGTGTGGAGGGGACAGGGGCATGGGGCACCTGTGCAGTGTGCCCAGCCCAGGGGCAGACCCCCGCATACCGTATAAAAACTGGGAGCACTGGAGGTAGCCTTCCTCCATCTCCTCACACTTGTCTGCGGCCGTCTCCACGTCGCTGATGGTGGAAGCAAAGATGGCGGCGCCGCTCTCCACCAGCTGTTTGCAGAGGTGCACGCTGTTGCAGGAGGCGGCACAGTGCAGGGGCGTCCTGGAAGAGAGCAGGCCAGGGAGCTTCTCTGAGGACAGCCCACTGTGCGTGGTGCTGTGGCCCGCCCGGCTGCCGGGGACGCGACCGTCGGGAGGCAGGGGTCTGCGCTGCTCCTAACGGCGGGACTTCTGACCAACGTAGGGAGAGAGGATGGACAGCAGCAGGAATGCACACAGGACGTAGCTGTGTGGACTGGGCCCCGATGCTGACACGACCTCCCACACAGTCTGCACAAGGACCGCCCAGGGGGCAGGCTGGTGAGACCCAGTGGCCCCCAGGGAGGAAGTGCTGGGCACCCCACGCTGAGCCCTGCGTCCTTACCATCCATCACTGTCGGCAGCATTGACATTGACCCCGAAGTCCAGCAGGAACCTCACGATGTGGTGGTGGCCAGCACACACGGCGTTGTGCAGGGGGGTAATGCCCTCATCATTGGGCTCACTGGGGTCTTCCACCTAGGACGTGGGGCACGTGAGCGCCCACCCCCTACCTTGCACACACACACACACACACACCCGCAGCAGCACTGGATCCTCTACCTAGGACATGGGCATGTGAGCCTGGGGGCCACCCCTCACCTCGTAGATGACCCTCTGCACCAGGTCGAACTCTCCTTCCAGGGACGCGTCCAGGAGCAAGGCCAGGGGGTTGAAGCGCACCCGCAGCCCGTGCCCCGTGCGCTCCGAGTTGGGCTTCTTCAGGTTGGTGCGTTTGCCCTGTGGGAGGGAAGGGTGCTTTCACTCAAGGGGGGTGCGTCTCAGACACCCCTGCAGCTGCTGGCCCCCATGCCGCCCGGGCAGCCCAGCTCCCCCAGGGAGGTTCCCCCCTCCCTCCTGCCTTCAGGTCTGTGGCAGCGCCGACGCGCACCGTGGAGGGTGCAGGCGGGTGTGCGACAGGGGGCACAGGCGGTGCAGGACCCTGCTCTTCCCCTGGGGAGGGGGCCTCGGTCACGGGGCTCGGGGTCTGCTCTGTGCAGGGGGCCGTGGCCACGTTGTTGTTGTCGTCCTCAGCCGGTGCTGCAGTCGGGTGGGTGGTGGGGGGGCAGATGAGCCCCTCGGGTTCTGGGGAAGGTAACTCGTTGTCGTTGGCATCTGACGACGGGGCGGGCTCTTCGGGGAGCGGGGCTGTAGGCCGGGCGGGGCTGGGCTCCTCCAGGTTCCCATTGGCATTCGTGTTCCCGTTGTCCACGTCGGCCAGGGTGCCCATGAAGTCCTGCGAGGGGCCGGGCTGGTAGAAGGGGGCGCCCTCCATGCCACCGGCCAGCGTGTTGAAGCGCTGATACAGAAGCTTCTGGATGTTGGGCCCGCTGGGACCCTCGGGCTCTGTGATGGAGCTGCGCTTCTTGAGGGGCCGGGGCGCGTTGGCCAGCTTCCTGCGCAGGGCCTCCAGGTCAGCATCGCTCTGGTAGCGCAGCGGCGAGTGCACCATGGGTGTGAGCTTGGTGGGGCTGAGCGGCCGCGGCAGGCTCTCCACCGGGCCGCCCTCCCCCGCGGGGGCGGGGCCCTCCTGCTCCGGCTCCTTCTCCCCACATTCGGAGGGCGGCTGAGGCTGGGGCGTGCCTGAGCCCAGCGACCCGTGAAGAAACGGGAGTGGAGACGGTGAGGTGGACCCTGACGGCAGAACGGGTTTCCCATACACTGAAGGAAAGACACAAGGGCAGGAGGTTACAGGGCCTCGGCCGCGGCAGGGGGGCACCTGCAGAGGGGCGTGGGCTGAGAACCGCACAGGCTCCTTCTGGAGGGCGGGGCCTCTCTGATGGACTGGTTTTCTAGTTGGGGTCCACAATTGAGGCTGCCTCCCTGTCCTGTCTTCTGGCCAAGCAAGACAAAACCACCACACACACCCCTAAGCCTGGGCAGGTGTGCCTCGGGGCAGAATCCTGCCCGTAGGGTCCACGTGGACCAGGACAGCCAGGCACACGCTGGAGTCCCTGAGGCTGCAGCAATGCGCAAGACGTCCAAGGACGGCCCGGCCCGGCCGCACAGCCCGCCAGCAGGGTCAGACAGCACCTCCTCCACATGTGAACACCTGGGCAGTCCTCCGGTCCAGGGCTGTGGGCTCCCGGGCAGCAGGAGGCCTGCTGGAGTCACCCAGGCCCTGTGGCAGCCGAGTCCTGTTGCCAGTTCCTGGCACAAGTTACCACACAGCAGAGACGGGAGGCCCCCTCCCCCACTTCCCCTTCCACTTCGTCTCGTGCTGACTCCAAGGCCATGCTTGGTAAGCATTCACTGGACCCTGAGTAGCACACGGCCCAGGGCCGTTCCCTATTTGAGAGGAGCACAGAGCCCCACCGCACCTGCTTTCACGGATTTATTCGCGGCGCTGTGCACTGCCGTCTGGTAATTCTTGGGTGGCGTGGCTTGCTGGAGGTACATGGAATATATGGAGCTCGAATTCACTGTCTGGGGTCCTTTTCTGGGCGACTGTGGCCTTGACCCTTTATCGGCCAGAAAAGGCCTAATGGCCACCGTCAGCGGGAGTTCAGGTTTGGCGTCTCCGGCCGGAAAGGCAGGTGGGGCTGTGGGCGGGTACGTGGGGCTTGGTGGCACCGAAATCCTCTGCTGAATCTGCTGCGAGGAGCCTGGTGGGGGGACGCTGGCGGGGGGCAGCGGGGCGGCTTTCTGCCGACTGGGAGGGCCCGTGCCGGCCCGGGGCAAGCTGCCCTCCTTCCTCCTCTCCAGGGAGCTCGTCGAGCCTGGAGCCAGGGGTGGAGGACTCGGGTACGCCGTGTAGCTCGGGGGCAGCTGCCTGCCCACACCGGGGACGGCAGGTGGAGCTTTACCAATCTCGACGCCCTAGATCAGGTGTGGGGGAGAAACAGCGAGTCAGCCCCGGACAGGGTGAGCACAGGGCACACGCCCGACACGACGCGCATGCCCCGTGCACGGCCCAGGCCTGGAAGGTCCACTGCCCCTGCACACCACTCAGCGCCTGCGGAGTGGCTGCCGGGCTCTGCGGAAGCACAGGCGGCCTACCAGCTTCTCTGGGGCTCCCAGCGCCGACAGGGGCAGGGGCTGGCTCGAGATGGTGCCCTGCTTCAAGGCCCCCTCCACGCCTGGGTCCTTCCAGTCCGCGCTGGCCGTCGGGGCTGGTTTCACTGAAGAGCCGGAATTCTGTTTTAACGTTGGCCAGTTTCCATCATTAGCTTGGAAAGAGCACAGGATTTAAGTGAAAATTTAACTTAATTGAGCCAACAACTAAGAGTAGCAGCACTGGCTGAGCGGATCACTCTGGGGAGACTCCGGTGAGCAAGTGGGGCACTGCCCGGGCCAGTCACCCCACCACAGCGGCAGGGGCCTCGCGGCACTGCGACTCCAAGCACAGGGCAGTCCTGACTGACCACGGTCAGCACACCGTGTGCCTTCCAACACTGGGACAACTGCACAGCAACTGCGGAACCCGACAGGCTTCGCCTGTTCCACTGCCACCTCAATCTGCGAGGAGTCCCAGCCTCAAGTCACCCCTGACGGAGGCGCCAGCGAGGTCCCAGCACCACGCGGCAGACAGAGCAGCGGTCACTCCCGCAGACAAGGAAGCCAGCCACCAACTCGAGTCCTCAGGGAAGCCACCAGAAGGATTTTTAGAGCGTTTTCCAAACTGAAAAAGGGCGCACAAGAGCCGCCTGGCAGCCAGGTCACTCCCAGGGACCCGAGTGCCTTTGGGTGTGCGGGTCAGCTCTGCTTTCCTGGCGAATGGGCACAGCGGCCGGGCTGGATGGACGGGAGGCAGAGGCTGAGCAGGCCCCGCCCTCAGCAGCAGTTTGCCCAGCCCATCTGCTCCCAGCCTCCTGGCGGCTTCTGCACAGGTGCAAGGCAGCGGGGGGCGGGGAGGCTGGGCCACGCCAGGCGGCCCCAGCACCAAAGTCGCCGTGCTCTGCGGCTTCCACTCGCCCTTGTTGGGGGGTCTCAGGTGCTGGGGTTGTGTAGGCCAGAGATTCAGACACCAGAGACCAGGAGGCAGGCAGGGCCGGCACCAAGGGGCTGGGTATGTGCCCTCTCTCAGGGTCATGGCAAAGGGAGGTATCGTGGAAGCCACCATGAGTGACCACAAAGTGGTTTTCCTAAAAGCCTCATAAGAACTCAGAAAATCATCTTAGTTTGTGACACATGGAACCCGTGCTGGTCTGGCACTGGTTGCCTGGCATAAACCCTTCCCGCGAGGGCGGGCACGTGTGGCCCAGCCGTCACGCCTGTGCCAGGGGACACGTGAGGTCCGGGTGGCGGCTTTTCCAGTGGAGGCCCAGTGAGCAGCCTTTGTCAGTTTGGAAACCCGATGATTAGAGGCAGGCCGCATCGGAGGCTGGAGTGCCCCGCCCGTCCGCCGACATACAGTTCTGAGTCGCGCTTGCCAAGCGCCTCGAGGAGCCGCAGCCAGGCCCAAGGTCAAGGTCCGACACTGTCCATGTACCGGTCACTCTGGGTCTGCTGTGGCTATCTGTGTGACACAGAACCAGCACAGTGGACACCAAGGGGTGAACATCCCTAGCGGGGGATCCCACGCCCCAGCGCCACATCCCGGCTGAGTCGCCCAGCCTTGGGGCTGAGCCAGGCTTCCTGTCCAGTCACTGTCAAGCGAGGAGGAGGGACCAAGGCGAAGCTCCCAACAGGATCATTCTCGGGAGCATGGTGTTCTCAGGCTGCAGGTCTGTGACCCGACCCGAGTGAGACGGAGGTCGCCGGCTACGCTTCCTGCCCACCCCTGGAAACAGGAAGTACCTAAACCTGCTGTAGGGCCAGGCAAACCGCAGACGACAGCCTCTCAGAGAAAGCTGCGCAGGGGCGGGGCTGCAGGGCGCGGTTAGGCCTCTGCCGGGGACACACGCCTCGTCTGAGTCCTAGCTACTCCTCTTCTGGTCCAGCCTCTGCTGACGGGCACCCTGAGAGGCAGCACGCCGGATCTGTGCCGCGCCCGTGGGAGACCCAGGTGAAGCTCCCGCTTCCGGCTCCTGCCAGCCCAGCGCTGGCCACTGCGGGCATCTGGGGAGTGAGCCAGCAGGTGGAAGAGCCGTCTCTGTCTCCCTGTCATTCTGCCTTTCAAGTAATGAAGTAAATCTAAAAACAAGCACACACACGGGAGAAAGTGCGTGGGGCATTTGGCACAGTGCTTCAGAGAAGGCTTGGGACACCTGCATCCCGCATCCCATGCCCGAGTTCAAGTCCCAGCTCTGCTCCCAATTCCAGCTTCCTGCTAAGGCACACCGTGGGAGACAGAGGGGATGGCTCAAGCACTTGGCTCCCTGTCACCCACATGGGAGACCTGGGTTGAGTTCCTGGCTCCTGGTTTCATTCTACCCAGACCTGGCAGTTGCAGGCATCTGGAGAGTGAACCAACATACAGAAGATCTCTGTCTTTCAAATAAATTAAAATTAAAAAAAGAAAAATCAGGAGCTGGCACTGTAGTGTAGCGCGTAAAGCCCCTGCCTGAGGCACCAGCATCCGATACGGGCACAGGCTCAAGTCCCAGCTCCTCCACTTTTGATCCAGCTCTCTGCTGTGGCCTGGGAAAGTAGTGGAAGATGGCCCAAGTGCTTGGGCCCCTGCACCCACATGGGAGACCCAGAAGAAGCTCCTGGCTCCTGGCCTTAGACCAGCACAACTCCGGCCATTGTGGCCATCTGGGGAGTAAACCAGTGGGTGGAAGATGTCTGTCTCTCCTTCTCTCTAACTCAAATAGATAAATAAATCTTAAGAAAAAAAACAAGTCAGCAGATAGGGGTTCGCCAACCCCAGGGCTCCGGGGCTGAGATGTGGCCATGAAGAGACATGAGTGGTTCTGGCCCCCGAGGACTCGCAATGCCCTCCTGCTGCGGGGCTCCCCGCAAGTCAGCAGCTGGTGACAGGAGCACCAGGCAAGGCCAACAAAGCCTGCAGAAAACCAGCACGGACTGCAGAGTCTGCCCCAGGGGACACAGTTCCTGACACCGTGTGTCACAGGGCAGCGTGTCCCTACCGTGACAAGCCGACTCCCCAGGGATGCACAGGCCGGTCCCACAGCACAGCTGTGTAGTCAAAGACCACAGGAGCCGGCTGTGCACAAGGCAAAGACCTGCACAGCGCTCTGTCCACAGGGAGGCAGCCCAGCATCCGGGCCATGCCATGCTGGGACAAGCAGCAGGCCCGGGTTGTGGTGCGGCGGCCACTGCTGGCACTGAGGGCCAGGGCATGCAAGCCCGTGGCGGGAGAGCGTGAGGAAGGCAGTCTCGGTACCTGTGTTTTGGAGACTCCAGCTCAGCACAGGTTGTGTTCTCATTCCAGAGACACCATCACCGTTGGGTGTATGGTTCCCCAGGCACGACCCAGGAACACCAAGTGCCTGTGGGGTCTGAGTTCAGGGGCTCAGGCTCTGCTGCCAAAGAGGGCTGGGCCACTCACCGGATTTGGATCTCCCATGGACAGCACTGGAGGCGACAGTGAGGGACTGGGGCTTCCCAGGATCCGCTGTAACAGGGAAGCTCCCAGCACTGGGGACCTGGATGTAGGGCCCCACAGCAGCAACTCTGCCAGACGTGCTCAGGGGCGACTGTGGGGACGACGTGCCGTTCACACGGGTCAGCTGCAGACCGAAGAAACCAGGGTCAGCATTCCCTGAAGTAAAAGAAACCCTGGGCCTCGTGTGGCAGGCCGCAGCTCTGACGTGAACCACTCGCCAGGCCCGTCCTCGGCAGTCCTGTCGCCCCGGGAGACCAGCACCTCTCAGATCAGAGAAGGGACCTTCAATCACTACAACCTCACAGTCCCGGCTCCTGGGCGGAGGACAGGCAGGCTGGGGGACGTCCTTGCTGGCCGGCTGCCTGCTCCACTCCCATCCCTGGGCAGAGGGCGGTCGGGCCTGCATAGACCATGCAAAGGGCAGGTGCCACGGCCAGCCAGGCACACGGCATCGCTGCAGGCACTCCGTGGTGTGTGCTCTGACAGCAAGACTTAAGACACCCGCCTGACTCCTGGGAGGGGGAGGAGGTGACAGGCCTGGGACCACGGAGGAGAACACAGGTATCAGCAAGAGCGAGGTGACGCCCTGGAGAGACATCCAAAGCGCAGGTGCAGAGAGCGGAGCTGTAATTCCTACAGCCCACTTCAGTCTTCTCCGCTCCGTGTCTGCATGAGGCGAAGGACTGGAACTAACCACCGTCACTCTGGAGAGCAGGGCGCAAGGCCCTTCCTTAAACCTCACAGTTCTAATCCTTGTTCCGTAAGCAGATCTGAAACTCAGGATACCAAACAAAGGCTTCTTAAATATAACCCTAACACAGCATTTCGCTTGAGAGTTTGCAAAATCCTTCCACCTGGCCTGGGTAATTTCTGTGGCAGTACCCAGGGCAAGAGGACACAGGCCTGCGGCCTACGTGGCAGTCTGGGCAGTCTGGCAGAGGTGCACGGGGAGGACAGAGGCCAGGACCCGTGCTGAGGCTGCAGCTGGGCCCGGTCTGGACCCCTCTTGCTGGGAACCCAGGCATTCTTTAGGAAGTGGACTTTCAGGGCCAGCGCTGTGGCACAGTGGATTAGGCCTCTGCTTTTGATGCAAACATCCCATGTCAGAGTGCCAGGAGAATCCTGATCCAACTTCCTGCTAATGAGCAGGGGAAGGCAGCAGACAATGGCCCAAGTGTTTGGGCTCCTGCACCCCTGGGAGCGACCTCAATGGAACCCTGGTTTCAGCGTGGCCCAGACCTTGATATTATAGCCACCTGGGGCATGAACCAGTCATCTCTGCCTTTAGAAACTACTCTAGATAAATAAGAATTTATTTATTTGAAAGGCAGAGTTGACAGAGAGAAGGGGGAGAGACAGAGAGAGGTCTTCCATCCACTGGTTCATCACTCCCCAGATGGCCGGAATGACTGGGGCTGGACCAGGCCAAGCCAGGAGTCCAGAGCTTCTTCTGGGTCTCCCCGACGGGTGCAGAGACCCAGGCACTTGGGTCGTCCTCCACTGCTTTTTTTCCTCAGGCACACCAGCAGGGAGCTGGATTGAAGTGGAGCAGCTGGGACCGATATGGGATGCTGACATTGCAAGCTGTGGCTTAACCTGCTGAGCCACAGCAATGGCCCCTCAAATAAACCTTGAAGACAAACAAAGAAGAACCGCACAGGAGCGAACTCTCCCCTCCCATCACCCCGTGTCACCCTGTGTCTGCTCGGTCACGTGCCTGAGCCTTCTTCCCGTAGAGGCGCTCCCGCAGCTCGCCGATGCGCCTGTCCATCATGGCCACCTCCGCGGTGCGCTTGTTCAAGAGCTCCTTCTGCTGCTGCAGCTTGGAGTTCTGCTCCTGGTTAAGCTGGTTACGAATCTGTGGACAGAAGACTGTTTCTGTGCCTGCGCTAACCAACCTCACTCCCAGGGAGATGACGGGAGCCGACGCGTGTTCCAGGAGTATCTCACAGAACACCGCCAGGAAGCCAGGCAGGATTCCAGAACAGAGGGAGCCTGTGGGACTGCACGTCTCCTCCAAAGCACACGGTGTGACCGTACCACCAGTGACCACGTGACCACAGCCGCAGGCCTCTGACAGGCCGAAGCCGGGGGCTGGGAACTCCATCTGGGTGTCTCACGTGGGTCTTAGGGACCCAGGTACTTGGGCCATCACCTGCTGCGCCCCAGAACCTAAGGAACAGGGGTCAGTGATGAGGCGGCCCAGCGTGCAGGCATGGAGAGCCCCAATCGCTCCGAGCAGCCTTAGTGTCTGCAGCCGCATTTTGGGGAGAAGTGATCGCTTTTCCTCCATCTTTCATTCTTTAAAAAAATACCTCCCGGAGGCCAGCACCGTGGTCGTGGGTAAACCCACCATCTGCAGCACCGGCATCCCATATGGGCACCAGTTCAAGTCCTGGCTGCTCCACTTCTGATCCAGCTCTCTGCTGTGGCCTGGGAAAGCAGTAGAATATGGCCCAAGTGCTTGGGTCCTTGCACCCCTATGGGAGACCTGGAAGAAGCTCCTGGGCTCCTGGTTTCTGATCAGCACAGCTCCAACCGTTGTGGCCATTTGGGCAGATGGAAAACCTCTATCTCTCCATCTCTCTCTCTCTATCTCTGCCTTTCAAGTAAATAAAATCTTTTAAAAAAATCTCCTTATTTATTTGAAAGGCAGAAAGACAGAGAGAGAGATCTCATATCCATTGGCTGGGGCTGAGCCAGGCCGAAGCTGGGCGCTCCATCCAGTTCTCCCGCATTGGTGCAGGGGCCCAAGCACCGGAGCCATCACTGCCGCCTTTGAGGGTGAGCTTCAGCCAGAGGTGACGCCAGGACTCGAACCCACACACTCCAATCGGGATGCAGGTGTTCAAGGTGGTCTCTTAAATGCTGGGACCAACACCAGCTCTCCTAAAACACTCTTCTTAAACTGGATCACAGTCCATGTCACACAAACCACAGCCCAGTGAGAAAATAAACCATAAAATCACTGTACTTTAAAAAAATCACCTAGAATGTAAGGGCAGTCCCAAGTTCTTGTAACAGTTGCAACTGTGTCAAAATAACTATAAATGATTTCACGGTTTGTAGTTAAACACCTTTAATCACAGAATGATGTATCAAGTTCTAATAAAACAGCAGAGCTGGTTTCTGGGGGCCGGCATTGTGGTGCACAGGTTAAGCGGTCACAGTGACGCTGGCACCCCAAGGGAGTGCCAGTTTGGGCCCTGCTTCTCCACTTGAGATACAGCTCCTGTTTCAGAGCAGGCAGATCCAGAGACAGAGTGGACTCTCCAGCTCTAAGCGCAAAGGTGCAGGGTGGCAATGTCCCGGCTGCTGTGGGAGTGGGTGCCAGTCTGTGAGGACACAGAGGTCCCTGCACTGCAGTTCTAAGTGGGGGCTGAGTGAGCTGTACCTCAGTAAAGCGGCTTAAACAACTCCCTCGTGGTCGACACACTCTGTGGTAGCTATTCTGCTAGGACCAGGACCTGTCCTCGGCCCGAGGACTTCAGCCCGCACACGGAGGCCGGAAGGCGGTGGGTGGTGGGTGTTTTTGTGCAGCCACTCCTGGACCCAGGCAGGTTACCTGGAGCTCTTGGTACAATCTTTTCAACTCCACCGCCGCTGGTCCCGTCAACTTGCCGTTGTACGACTGGAACCCGTTCAGTTTTCCTTTCTTTAAATCTTCCAGTTGCTGACTCAGCTGATCCACTCTTAAAATCGCAGTCTGCACTTCCTGCTTCTTCTCCTGGAACATGGCGCTGAACCTTTCTACCTCAGCAGCTGAAACGGCCCCGGAAGGAGGAAGGTTACCAGGAAGGAGGAAGGTTACCCCGGAGTAGTCCGTCCGTCTTTGTTTCTGCAGCACCAGCCCCTCCAGCATCGCGGGGCAGGTCCTGGAGAAACAGACAGGCACGATCCACACATGGTGGGCCGCTCCTGGGGCAGACCACGCATCTGCACGGGGCAATCGGGTCCACAGGCCAGGCTGGCCCAGCTGCTTAGTCAGCAACACCAATGCACCAACAGGACCCTGCAGTCCTGCCCCGTGCATCCCTGTAGCAAGACCCACGCTAACGGGACTCAGTGATGGATAAACTCACAGTCCTCAAAGAAAACACAGCCGGCGTCTGTCTGGTTTGTCTTAGTGCACGGCTGCGTTTTAATCTGTTCAATGAAAACGGGCCGCCATCGGAAGTCTCAGAGCATCCCCACCCCGCAGACGGCGGCTTTCCCAACCCAACAGAAGGCTCTTCCTCGTGCGTCCAAATCGCCTCCCCTCACCAGATCACCTTCCCTCACCTCCCGGTCACCAAATCACCTCCCCTCAGCCCATCACTAAGTCGCCTCACCCCATCCCGTCACTGGATCACCTCAGCCCCATCACTGGATCACCTCCCCCCATCACTGGATCACCTCACCTCACTCCATCACTGGGTCACTTCCCCCATCACTGGATCACCTCACCTCACCTCACTCCATCACTGGATCACCTCACCCCATCACTGGATCACCTCACCCCATCACTGGGTCACCTCCCCTATCACTGGGTCACTTCCCCCATCACTGGATCACCTCACCCCATCACTGGATCACCTCACCCCATCACTGGGTCACCTCCCCTATCACTGGGTCACCTCACTCCCATCACTGGGTCACCTCCGCCATCACTGGATCACCTCCCCTCCCCCATCACTGGATCACCTCCCCTCCCCCATCACTGGATCACCTCCCCTCCCCCATCACTGGGTCACCTCACCTCACTCCCTTCTCCTTTGCTCGCAGGTGACAGAGCTTGGCATTAGCGCACAGCAAATGCCCCATGACCCCGTGACCCTGCCTCCTGCCTCCCTCGCGCGGCAGGCACCTACACAGATTGCCGTTCATGATCTTGCTGTAGTCCACCTGTCCCCTCATGGCGCGGATCTTCTTCAGCTTGTTTTCCTGGGCTTCCACTCGTTCTTTCAACTTCTGAAGTTTCTCATTTTCAGAAAGGGACTGCTGCTGCCGACGCTCCTGCTGCTTTAGAAAATGTAAACGCTGCTCCTAACATGGGGAGAGAGAACGCAGCTCTGAGAACTGACACGCACTGCTCCTCACCCTGAACACACAGGCACACACCACGCGTGCTGCAGTCCCACCCAGCTCAACGACTCTTAGAGACACACCACAGAATCCCGCACACATCTGAGGACGTAAGACTGAGAAGATGGGGCCCACGTAAGTGTGAGCTGATCCAAGTGTAGACTTGGACGTGAGGACTGGTCTACACCAGCGGTGGACACAGTGCCTCTCAGAGAGCTGCTGGCAGTGTGCGGGCCAACCTCTCTCACCATGAGGCATGGCCAGCAGCGGCTTCCTGTTGTCAGGAACGGGTTTCCTGCTGCGACAAAGCGGCTTCCAAGAATCCCTGACTTACTTCCTAAAGGAAAGCGCTCTGGCCAGCAGAGATAAGGCATCAGCAAGGAGATACACCTCACTGCTAGGGACGCGCTGGCTTCCTCCCGGGTTAGTCTGTTACAAACAACAAAGACTCACAGTGCAGCAATAATAGGGTGATTCTAAACTAAAAACACGCAGTACTATTATTTCTTCCCTACTGACTGAAAATACACCTGAGGACAGTCAACACTAACATTCACGGCCCCATGTGTGCGTCCCTAAGTACACCTAGACCAGGAGGTGAAGGTGCGAGTGTGTGGGCTCTCCCACTACGCTGGGCGGCAGGGAAATGTGCTCGCACGGTGGGCATTCTTCACCAGCCTGTAGTCTGCATCACTGAAGATACAATCAGTTAAACCACCACCAGCAATCCTCGCATGAGTATTTGGAAAGGAAAAAGGCAGTTAGAAAATTTTATAATTACACCATACCACATGTATTCCCTCTCAGGAATCTCATTAATGGATGAAGTACTTTTCCTATTAACTTCTGGGTTTGATTCTTGTGAGCCCAATTTTTTAGAACAACGCGACTTACACTGTTGCCCACATGAAAGCAGCAGTGCCGCGGGGAGCGCTGGGTCTCCGGCTCGCGCTCAGGCGCGTCAGACCCTTCACGGCCGTTCACCGCGGAAGCTTCCGGCAGGCGGAGCTCTGATTTTAGCCAAGTCATTTTAGAACGACTTAACCATTATTTCTAAAAATTCTGGACTGTAATTTACAAAGTTGCAACAACAAAGGGAGCACTCCGTGTCTGAGGAGCACGGATGATGGCGGGAGCCCGTGAAGCAGCTGCCGCCATCCCGGGGCCCTGAGCAGTGTGTCCATCACAGCCTGCCGATTCCCTCTGGGACGCGCACCGACCACACAGCCAGACGCCGCGGAGAAAGGAGCTGACGACAGGAAGCAGCCCGTCCTTCCGGCTCTGACCTGTGGCGCGGCCTGGGGGTCCTCAGGCCGACCTGAGCGTGCTGGAGCGCTCTGCACGGCGCTTCCTCACCGGCTCGCCGCGCTCACCTTGGCAACCAACATCTGCTGCTGGCTTTCGATCTGCTGCTGCTGCCTCGCCGCCATGTCCTGCAGCTCCGAGAGGGTGAGCTCGACACGGGGGTTCCCGACCTGCAGGGACGGAGACCGCGCAAGCGCCAGCTGATTGCTGCAGCACTGGCAGATTCCAGGCAGGTTCCCCCGAAGGGAGGAGGACACACGGCTCAGTTCCTCCTGAGAGTGTCTCTGGTCAGGCACTGCTCTCAGTAAATGGGAACAACACTTGCTAACGCATGACCATCAGATCCTGTGTTTCCTAACAGGCCCAACCTCTAGAAAACCTTCGCAAATGTGCAATTTCGGACAGTCCTCCTTTTGGAATGGCAATTCAACAGGCTGACCTAAGAAAATGGGGCTGTTCAATGTTTAGGGACACACAGCCCCAAAATCAAAGTGCAGGGGACATCTAAGGACGAAGTCAACTCACTGTCATGGGGCCCAAGAAACCAAAACACACAGCAGATTCCAAAACACAAGTATCTCATAAATACAGCATAGGCAGGGCTGGCACAAACTGCTGACGTTACATACGTCGTCTCTTCCTGTACACCTGTGCCCCCCCACAACGGCCCTGAGCACATTTAAACGTCTCATACTCAGGGTCATCAGAGTTAAGCAGGCACAATGACTGGGCTTCAAGGACTCAGCATGACTCTCAGATCCCGGTACCAACACAGAAAAGCAGTCTGTGCAGCTCGCTGGTGAGACGAAGACCAGGTCAGACGCATTTCGGATGCTCTGCCTACTGCTCTGCGACTTCTGGAAGCCAAGCGAAGGCAGAGGGAGAGACCGTTCCACATCCTCACCAGCTCAAAGGTTCCCCTTCCTGGGTCCGGTCGTCTTTCACGTGTAAATCAGCCTGCATTACGTCATTCTCTCACTGGACTGTAAGCCCCTGGAGGTCAGGACAACGCACCTAAATTCACTGCATGGCCACATCTAGAACAGTGCCTTCACACCCATTTGCTATGCAACGAATATTCACAAGGGAAAAAAGCACGACACTTCCTCTGACAGAGGCACACACACAGGCGGCAGAGAGCAGCACCACGTCCCGCCCCCAGGGGTGACGTCTGCCACACCCAGGCCAGGGGGCCAGCCCTGGAATGACGAGGCGCTGGGCTCCACTCCGCTCTCACTGCACAGGAGACACTGAGCCCAGAAGAGACAGAGCTGGTGCCCTGTGCACACCCGTGTGCACGTGACCTGGACAGTGAGTGTACAGAGCCCTGTGCTCTTCAGAACGAATCTGTACAGTGGGGACTGCGCCCTCTGTGGTGAGCGGTGGGGACTGCGCCCTCTGTGGTGAGTGGTGGGGACTGTGCCCTCTGTGGTGAGTGGTGGGGACTGCGCCCTCTGTGGTGAGTGGTGGGAACCGCGCCCTCTGTGGTGAGTGGTGGGGACTGCGCCCTCTGTGGTGAGTGGTGGGGACCGCGCCCTCTGTGGTGAGTGGTGGGGACTGCGCCCTCTGTGGTGAGTGGTGGGGACCGCGCCCTCTGTGGTGAGTGGTGGGGACTGTGCCCTCTGTGGTGAGTGGTGGGGACCGCGCCCTCTGTGGTGAGCGGTGGGAACTGTGCCCTCTGTGGTGAGCGGTGGGGACTGCGCCCTCTGTGGTGAGTGGTGGGAACTGCGCCCTCTGTGGTGAGTGGTGGGGACCGTGCCCTCTGTGGTGAGTGGTGGGAACTGTGCCCTCTGTGGTGAGTGGTGGGGACTGCGCTCTCTGTGGTGAGCGGTGGGGACTGTGCCCTCTGGTGAGTGGTGGGAACTGTGCCCTCTGTGGTGAGCGGTGGGGACTGCGCTCTCTGTGGTGAGCGGGGGGGGACTGTGCTCTCTGTGGGTGAACGGTGGGGGACTGTGCCCTCTGTGGTGAATGGTGGGGACTGCGCCCTCTGGTGAGCGGTGGGCACCGCGCCCTCTGTGGTGAGCGGTGGGGGACCGCGCTCTCTGTGGTGAGCGGTGGGGAACTGCGCCCTCTGTGGTGAGTGGTGGGGACTGCCCCTCTGTGATGAA